TATCTATCTATCTATCTATCTATCTATCTATCTATCTATCTATCTATCTATCTATCTATCTATCTATCTATCTATCTATCTATCTATCTATCTATCAAATAACTGTATAAATATCTCTTTCCTTCAGTCCCTTGTCCTCCCACCAACCTAAAGTTGGTACGAGAATGCACCAGTCATGCCATCTTGTTTTCATGGAACCACACAAACAACACAGACCACTACAAGGCCCAAGCAGTCGACTCTAAGGTAGTGTGTACTACACTCACCTTATTCATAGGAAAAAAGTTATTGCTGAGTGTAAGATGATGAGAAAGATTCATCAGCGAGCTGAGAATTTCTAGCAGGCCTCTTTTTTTTTTTTTTTTTAACCTTTGTAAAGAAGGCTGACTGTTTCTGCACTATATATATATAAATCAAAATCTGGCAGAAAGTGTGCCAGAATTCTTTTTTTTTTTTTAAATACAGTGGCATACTCTCATCTTTAAAAATGGTAAAACACCAAAGATAATGGCAATTATCTGTAAAAAAAAAAAAAAAAAAAAAAAAGACATTCTGGATTTAGATACAGTACAACAGTGTAATTTTATAAGAACACATTGTACAAAAATAACTGAATTTCTTTTTGTAAAAATTCGGATTTTTGATATGGACATTATTTACTGTTTTTGGCTTTTTTTTTAACAGGCAACATGTAAATCAATACTATTTTCTGTGATTTTGATAGATAATATCTGTAATCATGCAAAACTTTTTTTTAGTAAATGCTAACCTTTCCATTGTTCTGATGGTATCTCTACAATCCTGCAAACGCTTCTAATCATCTGGATAAAAAAATGTTGATGATGATTCAAAAAAATGTTTTTTAGCCTTGCATTGTCTGTACCTGTACGGAAAACAGCCACTGAAGAACTTTGTTTTGCTGGATTGGATAAAAATCATTTTTCATCCAGATGGTTAGAAGGGTCTCTATAGATTCTATAAATGGTGTCAGAACAGGAGTAAGTCTTTTACAATCGACACTCTGGATTTTCGCGTCATTCCTAGTTAATTAACCAGTGGTTACGTCTGTGATGTGACTATATGCTACAACCTGAGGGGCACAGACTGTAAGGGCAATAAAAGTGTGTACAATTTTTTTTGAGACAGCAAATAATCATTTTCCATGCCTCTAAAGACTTAATTACTAGAGTGTATATATTAAATATGTTTGTGATTCCTCTGTTCCCAGGGAGGGGTCCAGGACTGCCTGACTGACAAAAACTCCTGTTATTTCACACACACAGTGTGTGGACGACACTATGACTTCACAGTCTACGCTATGTCAAAGGGTTGCAAAAGTGAGATCAGCTCCACTGTGGGTATTCGCACAGGTATGACAACAAACATCTGAAGTTATATGGAACTTAACACCAATTTGTTTTTTCTATTCATTTTCTATTTTTTGGACAGTTTTACCTCTTTAGGTCTCTAAAAAGTATTCAAATATTTACTGAACTGCAAGGACATTCAAGAAGTGTTAAATAATGCCATCAAGTGAGGAGCTAAACTGAATTCAGGCCCAGCTTGTGAGAGCACCCTCTGGTGGAAATCCCATCCAACTAATACTAGCAAATACAGAGATGTCTGTTGAATTATAAAATCTACCAGTGATACATATATGTTTCTCCTGTTACTACATTTTTCAGCTTGCTTTAGCTTTTACACATTGCATGTAAAACATTTACAATTTTGTAAAGTAACTCAATCCGTTATTCCTCCAGCACCCTGTATTCCCCAGAATCTGCAAACATCATCCAACTGTAGCTCCGATGCTTTGCTCAGCAAGTGGGACCATGCTGAGGGAGCTCTACGCTACACTGTGAATGCCACCGGCAACAAGAAAAACAGCAACTACAGCTGCAGCACACGTACCAACAGCTGCGTTATGGAGGGTGTCCCCTGTGGGCAGCACCTGACCATCAGCATCACTGCTTATGATGATGAGTGTTCCAGTCCGGAAAAGCTTGGTCATCCTGCTGAGACAGGTGAGGAAAACCTGTCAGAGCCTGTTTACTAGACATCAGCCAGAGTGAAAGAAGCACTTACATGCTGTACTCGTGCCATTAAATAATACTAAACAAATCCCAATTAAGTAAAGGAGCAGAGGCGCTATATAATAGGAAAGGTATCATTAAAAGAGCTCAATATGCAGCCAGTCTTATAAATATACATGAAATTATTGTTAATTAATTTGTACATTTTAATGCTGTAACTAGTAAAGGTGGAGTTCCTTTTAAACATTTTTATACTGTTGGATTCTCTCTAATAGGCTGCTGATACACGATCTATATGTGAAATATAAACTACATGTTGCTTTGCACATTATTGTAAATGCCATGGTGTAAAAAGCATAGAATAATTTAGGAGTACATTCCACCACTAGATATTACACATCTAATAAAGGTCAGGTTTCAGTAATTCTGCTCTCTGCAGTGACGACAATGAATATCTGAATAATCTTAGTAACAGAACAAACATTCACTATCTTGATGAGAAACATAAGGGTTTGCTGCTTTTTATAGTTTGTTTCATTTGAATGTCTTAAGGTTTATGATTGTTAGCTGGTAAACGTAAACTCCCTAAAGGCATCGACTTTAATAATCCAAAAGTCCAGAAAATAGTCAGAAAGTAATTTTCTACTGAGATTAATAATCATGGTTGTAATTGTTAACCTCGCAATGGATTGACTCCCTCCATTCTGGTTACAGCTGCCACAAGGTTTAAAGGTGGAATTATTATTAACTGATCTCCTCCGTCTCCTCCAGTCCCTTGCACTCCCAAGAACATATCAGCTGTGAAGGACTGCAAAATCGACACCATCAATGTGAACTGGACCAGTATCTACCCCGCATTGTTCTACGTCGCCATTGCGGAGGACATCAATGGCGTCATTCACAGCTGTAACTCCATAAAAATGTCCTGCAGCATGCACGGCTTGGAGTGCAGCACCACGTACAAAGTCTATGTGATCGCCTCCAACTTCATGTGCAACAGCTCTGTGAGCGAGATGGTCACCGTAGAGACAGGTATGGTAGGGGTAAGGAAAGACACGTGTCCTTCCTGTGAACCACCATCACTTGTATCTTGCATATTTTAAAAAGAAAATCTGTTATGGATATACATCTGCTGAATGTATTAGTGCCATAAGTCCTGATTAGCATGACTAAATTCTGTATCAGTGTTTCTTTTTTAAAAATATATGAGTCTAATAATGTGTTGTTTCATTGGGATGTCTTTCCAGGTGCCTGCCCACCATATGACCTCTATTCGTACCTGGACTGTGCAGCCAATGAGGCTCTGATTTCATGGCACGGCCAACACAACATAAACTCCTACACCGCCACCATTGTGGATAAAGATCACGGACTTCTCAGCTGCAGCTCCACTACAACCAACTGCACAATACCCAACCTGAAATGTGGCCAGTACTACACCGTCACAGTCAGCCAGCACGTTGGCATGTGCAGCATATCCTCTGAGCCCATCCACATGGATTCTGGTAGAAACTCTCTGCTCTTTAACATTCACATACATTCTGACTTGCCTTCATGTCACCGTGTCGCTCACCCAAATCAGTGAAGCTTTAGAAAAATGCATAAAGGGTGGTAAATAGCACAAACAGTTTAAAATATGGCTTATAATAGTAGTTAGAATTGTGAATATACCTTTTCAAAATTAAATGAATTGAAAGTACGGTCTGGACAGTTTCAGGTAAGCTATTGCCTCACTTATCCCGTAGGTGGATTTACATACAGATACTACTCCAGAATTTAACACTTATTAATAAGAAAAAGCAAGCTAAGTTTATGTGCACTCAGATTCATTAGGCAGCTGCTCCATGTTATTTGATTTAACTGGACCTGGAGGATGGTGCTTGCATTATTACTTGTTGCCATGTGGAGGCACCCTGTGCAAAAATCGAGTTTAGTTTAGCTCAGTGTAGGTACAGCTGTGGCTAACAAACTTGCAGCGTAGCACTTAAAAAGCCCTCTGTAAACTCATTTGATTTACCGTAACAGAATGGCTTTTCCTCTGGCACCACCTTCAGGTCAAGAATCTAACACACTGATTGCAAAATTGGCTTTTCATTTATACTATGATGGTTCTGATCATCATTACACCCTGACTATGGATATGTTGCCATCTTTGTAGCCTCTGTATCAGGATCTGGAATTCTACTTTGAATTCTAGCTCAACCTACAAAGGCTGACAGAAGCATAAGATTTGAATACAACGTCACATGAAAGATAATTTAGTGCATGTTCACATTGTTAGAATCACCACCTCATGTGTTCGGTGCCTGTCTTCACCCATCCGTCTTCTCTCTGTGCAGTTCCTTGCGGACCTGCCAACCTGCACGCCAGCGTGAACTGTATGTCCGGTGAAGCCACCATCAGCTGGAAAGAGACCTGGAACGCAGAAGGCTACATCACTGTGATCTCAGATGGAAACATGCAGATGACTTATAATACCACAGAGCCAAAGCTGAGCGTGGACACGATGCACTGTGGGCAGAAGTACAAAGTGGAGGTGATGTCCGTCAATGAGAGCTGCGTCAGTCTTTCATCAGAGACATACTTCAAGGAAGGTCAGAGAAGTTAACCCTGTAAAGCCTTTTTGTTAGTAATGTGACACTAGTGTGTGTGTGTGTTGTATGGTAAGTGGAGAAGCTGAATCAATGAAGCTGATCCAAACTGATTCTGTTTGTTAAAGTTCTAAAATTCCCAGATAGAAAAAACATATTGATGTTTTGTTAAACCCTATGTTTTTTTGCTCTTGTCATATTTTTACACACTGTGGGCTAATTTTTCACTGCAATATAAAGTCCTGCATCTCTATGGAAACAGAACACAACCATGACTAGACGTGTAGAGAACTCAAAAATGTCTCGTGTGCAGTTAGAATGCCATGAATCTTTTTTAAAAAGAAGAAGAAGAAGAAGAAGAAGAAGAAGAAGAAGAAGAAGAAGAAGAAGAAGGAGGAGGAAAAGATTCATTTTTTGGTTACATATTTTCCAAAAATGCAAGAAAAAGGAAAAAAAAAAAACTCAAATCAAAATTTACATTTTTCGAGATGCTCACAAGTGTTACCAATACTGGGGGGGGGGGAAACTGGTCTACCGACACTCATAAATATCTGATTATATGCATTTTATTTGCTTCCAAACTCATTTCCTTTTATGCTCTGCGTATACACAGCCTGCAGTTCAACCCAGTTCAGCCAAAAGATCCTTGAATTTTTGTCATGGGACTGTTACTCACACTTGAGTCAATCGTTGCTTTCTGGTTGTGCCAAGTAACATAGTTTGTTTTTCACATTAATTATTTTAGCCAAAATAATACTATTTTATTCACATATTTATTATGGTTAAATGTTTTGGGTTATTTTGAGAACAAAAAACGTAAAATAAATTTGAATGATTTGATTAAATTTTAATTAAATTGAATGAAATATTTTGATTACAAGCTTAGATTTGGTCAATTTTCTTGACAGAACAGCATGCCACAGATTAATAGTTTAATAAAGTTGATAAACGAACAATTCCTGCTGTTTTAATATTGTTGTTTGACTCTAATTAAATTTATGTTAATAATGTAATGTAATTTTGGTGATTTAAAAAAAAAATACAGTGCACTTCAAACCCACCAGCAGGTTTTTGCTTTCAGTTGTTAAAGAGAACCAGGTGGCTTAAGCTCCGATTCTGTATCAGCTTAGATTTATATACTTGTAAAGAGAAAATAAGACTAATGAAATGCAAGTAAGACAGTGACTGTTGTAGATTAATGGCTTTATTGTGCATTTTGTCTTTTCACTTTTAATTTACTAATATTTTTACTAAGTCAGTAAAGGAGGTCCAAGAAAGCAAACATTATTTTTAAGGGGAGGAATACATTGTCATGTATTGATAGCTACGCTGCACTATAATACTGAGCTCCTTCAGAACACGACCGGTGGATGTAAATATATTGAACCGGTTGCATGTTTTTGCCCCTTCAGTGCCCTGTGTGCCCACGAATGTGACAATCAAGAGAAAATGCGGCCAGAGTTTTGTGGACGTGATGTGGCAAGCAAGTCGTGGTGCCAAAAACTACACGGTAACTGCCATGGATGAAGATGGCAACTCCATGAAGTGTGTATCCAACATCACGTCATGCAGGATGAAGGGCGTAATGTGTGGCAAAGCTTACAATGTCAGCGTGATAGCTATGGATGACGCCTGCAGCAGCATGAAGAGCCCTGCTGTGAAGCTACTGACAGGTACAAACTGGCAGAAAAATCGGTTTTGTAACTGTGAAATGCTGACATGCTCTCAACAACCATGTGCTCTGTGTGCTTCCTCTGCAGAACCCTGCCCTCCCACTGAGCTGATGGCCAAAGTGAACTGCAGCAATAACTCTGCCATGCTAACCTGGAAGAGCAGCCCCAATGCAATATATTACACTGGCCAGGCAGTGAGCACAGGTGGAGACCGCATGACCTGTGATGAAGGAATGGAACTCAATTGCTCTCTGACGGGTCTGCACTGTGGTGAGGAGTACACCTTCACCGTGTCGGCCTCAGACGGTGAATGTCAAAGTCCTGACAGCAAGCCGGTCGTCCAAACAACTGGTGAGAGACAGAAGCACCTTTATGTCAACATTTCCCATTTAATTATGTGTCTATGTCTTACTATTCAGCTTTTTTCTTCTCATTATCTGTTTTAGTTTTGTTATTTTAGTCCTCCTACCATATTTCCCTAAACCCTACAACTCCAAATCCAAAAACATCCGTTGACAAAACAATATTATCAAAAAATCTGTTTGGTAGCTGATCAGAAGCATCAGTCATGTAACACTCTCTCAGCCTAGTCTGCCTTTTTGTTATGACATTTTAGCCATAGAATTAACATTTTTGGAGCACTTTAGTGTAACGGTTGAGACTGAGTTCCCTATTTTAACTGCATAGAGTGGTGCATGAAAATACATGGCCCTAACCCTAATAGAGCTCTGAATGTATAGTTCTAAATCATTCATTGATCAAAACAAAGACCATTTCGGTCAACTGTGAATGTACAAATGGAAATATAAACATATGTAAGTGTATGACAGCTGATAAAACTCCCTTTGTTGAGTTAAATTGTGAGATAAATGAAAGCTCTGACACAGCTACTAAATAGAAATGTGGTGTCATCTGCATAGAAGCCAAGAACTAAATTAAATGTTAATTGTTTTTATTTTTTTTGGAGAACTTAAAGAGACCAGAAAGGCCACTTGTCATGATTTATGGAAACTCAGAGGTTTCCTAGAAACATGTAGAAATCTACATTTGTGCTGTGGAGCTTGTCCATCATCAAGTGACCAAAAAACAAACAGCTAACTCTATCACATTTAGCAACCACTACTGCTATCCTAAATTTGCAAACTATGCCTGAGTGTAACTGTTTCCCTCCTGTACCAGCCCCCTGCGCTGTTCAGAATGTGCGCACAACCCTCAACTGCACTAACAACACACTGATGGTCAGCTGGATGCCCGGATCCATGCCAGTCAACTACAGCGTCACCGCCATGACTGCAAGTGGCACCGTACTTCGCTGTGTCACAGAGGGTTCCAGATGTAACACAACTCTACAGTGTGGACAGCAGTACACTGTGACAGTCACCCCCATGAGCAGCACATGTGAAGGACCCAGCAGCGACCCAGAGATTGTAAACTCAGGTACATTTGTCAGTTAACCCAGCAGAGCAGGGTGTTATGCTAAAGACGTTTTTGCCTCTTTACCGCTCACATATTTTCTTTTGCAGTTCCATGTGTTCCTATGGAGGTCCAAGGCATGGTGAACTGTTCCACTAACACGCTGAACGTTTCCTGGGATGCAGCTGCTGGTGCAATGTCCTACAAGACCTTAGTGACAGGACCCGGAGGTTTCTCTACTTACCGTCGCACAGAGAACCAGAGCTCCCTCTTCCCTCATCTGCAGTGTGCTCAGACCTATATGTTCAGTGTGATGGCCCTCAGTGACAGGTGCAACAGCTCGAAGAGTGCCATGATGTCAGCGACAACTGGTAAACTAGTACACCTGAGCCTTTTATTTTTGAAAAAAAGCAAATATTAAAGAGCAAGGCCATGTTTTCTCACTGTCAAAGAATCTCATAGAAAGACCAAAAACAGTGATGGATTGTGTCGTTGCTCTTCATTGTTGTTCAAACAATACCAAAAACACATCACTATTAACGATATTTGCTTCAAACTGTCCAATTTAAATAAATAAATAAAACCACAACCACAACAAAAAAAAAAGTTTTGCATTTTGTTTCAGACAACAGGGAGTATCCAGAGATGGATTAACATTGCTGGTTATGGTCTTTTATTAGATTGTTGACAATATTCAAATGATTTAAACTTTGACAGCTAAATTTCAGTTCATTACTTCTTCTGTATAATGTTTTATCTTTATAGTAACTAAATTCTGGTGGATCTTTTGTTTAAGAGCATGAAAGTCACCATGGTGTTCCTTTTTCCTGAAAGCTCCTGTTGAGGATCAGAATGAGTTTTTGTAGGTGAAATATTTTAAATCCTTGCTGACAAAAGTAGAGTCGCTGCTACACTGAGAACAAAGCTGGCAACAAGTTAAAAATAATGCTTTCGATCAAACAAATGAGTCATAATCCTCCGTTTCTCCGCTAACCTGCAGCTCCCTGTGACCCAACAAACGTGTTTGCTTCTCTGAATTGCGTCTCCGGTGTGGCGACGGTGACCTGGAATGCCAGCGCTGGAGCAACTCACTACAAGGTCATCGCCGAGGCCAACGGTCACATGGACTACTGTAAATCCAATGGCACTACCTCCTGCGAACTGACCCGGCTGAAGTGTGGGGAGGACTACAGCGTGACTGTGCTGGCAGGAGATGCAAAGTGCAACAGCTCCATGCTCGCCAGAACCTATCTAACAACAGGTATTTTCAGTTTAACCTTCATGTAATCTTATGATTAACTAAGCAACACATTTTAAGATTATTAAGAGCAAACGTGGTTTCCATGTCGAATACATGACTTGTGCAAATGGAAAAAAAAAAGTCTCCGGACTGCCAGGAATGAAATTCTGAAGGAGATATGCTGAAATGTTGACATATATGCAGTCAAATTTAAACATTTTAAGTTGAAAAATCCTGCAATTCAAATGTAAACTATTTAAATCCACCCAACCTTTCTTTTTTTTTTTTTTTCCAAAGTGGCTGCCACAACTAAAAAGAATAAAAGCACACTTTGTACTGATTCAGTAGCAATCAGGACCACAGATGCAGTGTACAGGAATAATCTTTCCTATCTGGAAGCACATTTGATTACATTTAAGTGGAATGACACATATTAGATTAGATATAACTTTATTGGATATATTTGCAACATGAAAACTTTGATCAAGCAAAAAGTTTCACGTTGTAAAATTAATTTCATAAAGAAGTGTGGTCTTGTCGTGGTACTCATTTATGACAGTTTTAAACCGTTTTAAAGCTGAAATGAAACCAAAAATGCACCTTTTAGTGAAAGAAAACTAAGAATGAACCACATTTAGCTCTCGGATGTCATCTAAAGTTAGAGATGATTGTAGCGCATCGACAAGTCACCCAAGACTCCTGTAACAGACACATTTGTAATGCGTGTCATTGTGTCCAGCCCCCTGTGCTCCCATGATCCACAACCACTCCCTCGACTGCGCCCACAACCACGCCTGCGTCACCTGGGATAAAGACGACGATGCCATCAATGTAACGGTATATGCAAGCTCCAGCATGGGAGACATGCAGTCCTGCAACTCCTCCACCAACAACAGCTGTTACCTGGACAAGCTGAAGTGTGGGCACACCTACAGCGTCCATGCTGTTGCACAGGGAGCCCAGTGTTTGAGCAAACCCAGCACTGCTTTTGAGGTTGTCACAGGTATGTCTTCAGTTCAGTATTTTGTGTTCATGGTGTTGCACAGTTAACTTTAGTTGCTCATTTGACAGCAGACAAATTAAAATGTTTCAGCATACTAATTTTAAAATGAGAATTCAGCAAAGGCTCTTGAATGTGGACAAATGAGCAAATGTGGCTGCACGTCAAAAGGTCCTGCATCCCCATCAGTTGATGATCTATGTAGAGAACATGGAGATAAAAGAGTAATATTTCTCTTTTCCTATTGCAATGCAGTAGTCTGTGCTAGTATTGTATGCAGGATAAGGACTAGGATAATTGAATCACTATTTCCCTCTTTGGCTACGAAGCTTTCAAACTCATTTGTATTTTGAAATTCTACCTTTTGCTTTCACATTTTAAGAGAGTAGGTTTTAGGATGAGAACTAACCAATGTGTTTCACAAAACACAACATAAGATATCCAAAGCTTGATATATCTGCTGTGCCTGGATAGTCACTAAACCATGGCTGCATGGTTGCTATTCAGAGGAGGAATTCGGTGTACTTGGTCAATTTTACAACTCTGTAGCTGCTAAGGTGAGATTGTAGACCATGAGGAAGGTTTAACAAACTTTAAAAATGAGTTGAGAGAGAATATTTTTTTTGCTTTTTAGCAGATTTTATTTCCTATAAAGCTGAAATGTCATTACATCATTAGAGAGGGAAGACAGTCTCCGTCTGTGAGGACATCCAGCTAATAAAGAGTTGAGGATAAACTAAGGTCTAGGTTGCAGTAAGGTGTTCATGAACTGACTGTATTCTTCTCTCACAGCCCCCTGTACACCTGCAAACGTGGACCACACATACGACTGTCTAACTGGCATTGCCTTCGTGAACTGGGACGAGACTCTGGGCAGTAAGGGTTTCTACGTCCACGCCCACTCTGGGAACCACGCGACCTACTGCAGCACCGACAAGACTGACTGCTCCCTGTCCCGGCTGCTCTGCGGTCAACTGTACCATATCGAAGTGACAGCGGTGGCTGATCACTGCAACAGCAGCATGCCTGGTGTAACGCAGATACAGACCGGTAAGAGGGGGAGGGCCTGCCAGGTGTGTGTGTAGATACAGGTGACGGGTGGGTCAGTGTCTGCGGGTTTACTCTCTGCTTTTATTACATTTCAGTTATTATTGTTTGCAAGACTTGTTTATTTTTTAAATACAAATCAGGTATCCCTGACATTTTGACAGTCCCTTTTGAGTCTAAGATATATATTTCTAATTTTTTGCATTTGTACGTGTTTTTTTTCACCATTTCTGGCATCCTTTGGTTTCCCTTCACTCATGCATGTAGATGCTTTTGGAGTTTTTCCTTTTCCTTTTTGTGCATGTGAAACATCTGCAAACTTACAAAGCCCAAAGTCCACACCAAAGCAAGTTAAGCATTACACATTATGTGTCTGAAATGCCTCGTTTTAAGTTCAGTCTTTTCTGCTTGTCTATGTCACCATGTAACACACTCACATAATTTTCACGTTTAACCCTTAAAACAAAGAATGAGCAGCTTCTTTGCAGTCTGCCATTTATTTCTACATGAGAGGGGCTGGGGTGCAAGCTAACCAAATAGGAGAGAGTGATTTTGAATTGAACAAAATCGAAAACTTTCAGAGGAAAACAACGGTCTGTGGCACTGTCATGTTAGACGCATTATAATCCGTGAACAATACTGTTAGGAGCTACACATGCAACAGAACCTGCAAATGGTCCATTCTGAGGGTTTTTTTTCACACAAAATGAGTACAAGTGCAGGAATTCTGCTCTAAATGGGGACCAGCTAATATCACATTTCCCTAAATGTACTATAAAAATGTAAAAAAACACTGAAAACCTGGTAATTTCTACATTAGAGGCCTCGTGCAATAATATCTTAGAGATCAGTTCCCCCCTCCTTATTTGTTTCTACGTTTGGCTTTTACAGAGTTAATTATGCTATTTGTGCCTTTCCGTAAAAAACCACAAGACCAACTGCGTTTCATTTTCCCATCAGCCCCCTGTGCTCCCATGGATCTCAGCGCATACCTGGTGTGTGACAACAACACGGCGGCGGTGAGCTGGCAGCAAAGTCCCGGTGCAGATTCCTATACCGTGATGGCGAACGGCAGAGATGGTGACGTCAAGAAGTGCATCACAAACGGCACGAGTTGTCATCTACCCAACATGCACTGCGCTCAGACCTACATCATCACCGTCACCCCCTCCTCTAAGTGGTGCACCGGCAGTGAGAGCAATTCATACACCTACGTTGCAGGTGAGAAGGAACTTTAAAAATGCACTTTTGATCAACTTCATCCTCAAAAAAAAAAAAAAAATCAATTGTCATTATATATTTTTAAAGTAAAGGAAACAAATACAGATAATCCAAATAACATAAAAGGCCTTGGAGCCCAGTGTGTCATTGTTCTTGTTTGGCCAAGACCGAATGTTGATGTACCACTAGATGATGTACCACTAGATTCTTATATTTCTAATGTGTGTCATAGTGTTGATTTTGGCTATAACTGTATGGAATATGAAGTAACTGTCACATGTATAATTTAGTATTTTAACCCTTTTTGCAGTAGCAGTTGCCACCATATTTTGAAAACCTCTATTTAGTGCCGAATAACATCTCATGTTAACATCACAGGTCTGCAGTTAGTGGCTGAAACTGAGGGAAAAATACTTTTAGTTGCTTTTAAATGGCATTGAATGTACAAATAATGCACTGGAATAGAGGGGAGCTAAAGAAAAAAAACACGCGAGCACATGTGGAGAAAGGGATTAATGTTAACACTCAAACACTGGGCGCATGTTTACTTTTCTTCAAACTCCCGTGTTTCCCTTCTGCCATCTTTCTTGCAGGTCCCTGCCCTCCCACCGACGTCCACGCGACCCTGCAGTGTGTCGGTAACGTGGGCCACGTGACCTGGACCGCTGCCCCACGAGCTGATATGTATGTGGCCACGGCCATGTCTTCCGTCATGCACGGACATGCCCACAACTGCTCCTCCAACGGAACATACTGCTCCCTCGTTGACCTCGACTGCGGCAAGACGGTCAGCATCACTGTGGTCACCATAGAGAGGGGCTGCAGGAGCAAACCCAGCATGCCATACACTTTCCAATCAGGTCAGAGAATTACAGAAACTAAAGGATCAGTTTGATATTTCTGCTTCCTTTCCAGTACTTAGATGAGAACTGACACGACTCACAGCAGGCCTAATGACTGGAAGCAGAGAAAAACAACCAGCATGACTCTTCCCAGTGTTCAGACTTACACCTACTAAAATCTCTTTTTTCCCCTAATCCCTCAACACCATTTGTGGGTTTAAAAGGGATTTATAACCATTTCTTAACAAGTTATCCATCAGCCCTGTACTTTTGTGCCTTATATTAAGATATTGTGAAATTCTGACAGTTACAATCGCGCTCTCTCAATAACTGCAAATAACTATCACTGGCTGTTACTACATGTAATGTTTTGTTTAAGCTAGTATGCAAATTTGGGTTTAAAGACCACACAATATTAAGTTAATACAATTACCTACGTTATTATGTCAAATCAACTCATTAAAATAATGTTGGCAACTTAAACGGTTTATCTAAATAATAAAATTACAATGTTTCTCCTGTAACCATGCATTTAGTGAAGTGGTGGGAATAGATTAATTGTTTTACTGTGGAATAAAGAGCGTAATAAAGTCAATTCAGCTCATTTAAAAGAAGTACGCCATTTGTTTATACCAAATTACTACAGATATGTAACACAACAACAGGTTTTTATCTAGTGCGGCTGCATGGCTGGCAGTCTAGTCTGTCTTAACACGAAGCTAAGCTAAACACCTCTTGGCTTAAGCTGCATACTTAACCTTGTAGATAAAAGTGCGGTGTGACAATGTAATCCCCAAAATGTTAATCTACTCATTAAAGAGCTAAAATGTGTTCTTAGTGTGACCTACATTGTTTTTCAAGGCAGTGTAATAATAAACAGGTCCCTCATAATTCTCATTATTGGCTGGTTTTAACTGGCAAAAATCTACATTCAAATCAGCTAACTTACACAACTGTCTCTCTCTGCCTCTCTCTTGTCGTCAGTCATCTGCCCTCCCACTCATGTGACTGGAGTGACAAACTGCACCAGTAATGACATCACAGTACACTGGGACCCAAGTCCAGAAAGCGGTGTTGACTACTTCCTCTACTCCGAAGAAGACAGTGGGGCCGTTGCAAACTTCTCCACTACACAGACATCCCATGTGATAAAGGACCTGCAGTGCGGCGAACTTTATTCTGTCAAGGTTGCTGCCAGGGACTCTGAGTGCACCAGCGTCTTCAGTCAGCCGATATGGACTGAAACAGGTTAATATTGGTCAAGAGCCGTCGCTCACCAGCAGAAACCCCGAGCTGTTACATGGAAAAAGGTCATTCTGACAGTACCAACAGTTATTTGTCCTTCTGAGCTCAGCTAAATGTTATATATAAAACAATAGAAGAAAACAGAAAAGGCTCATGAGCCAGAGCTCAAGATCATGTCTTAAAAAGTGCTTGTCTTATCCAACTACAGGCCAAATGGTGATAAGCAAGAAACTTTTGCACTTAAAAAGCTATAAACACTGAATTCTTACAATTTTTACTTCATGAACTTTTCAGGTCCTTCAACATTTCCTTGGTATTTAAGTGGATAGTTACATGACAAACCAAAATATTTCTTATGTTTTATGGAAATATAACTTAATTTTCACATAATATTTATTCATTTCAGGTACGTTTTGTAGTAACTTTTACCTCACTGCATGATTGTCTTCCAGTGGTTTTAGCTGTCGTACTGATAACGTCCTCATTTGCGGCACTGCAGGACAAAATCTACTCTCTCGAATATCAAAAACATTTGAAATCTACAAATACATACACATGTGGATGTGTATGAACAATTTTAAAGGATATCTGCTCATATCATTTGCATTTTCATGCAATAAATTGAAAATGTTCTTTTTTTTCCTCCCATGTTTTTTATGTTCATTAAAGTTAGAATCTTTATTCAAGTGATAATATTTCACTATAAACTCCAGCTTACTGACAGCCCTTATAAGTGTCGGAGTCTTAAAAATTTTTTCACCTCCTGTCCTGTATAATTTCCAATAATTTCCCCTGGCTTGGTCTGTTCTATGAATGCAGCTGATTTAGTTTGTTCATAAACTCAAATCACATTTATTGTCATTGTACAATGAAATTCAGTTGATATTCTCGTATTAAAACGACAGATAAAAACTAAAAACAAACAAGCCATAAAACCAACACGCATAAAACACGTAGCTTAGAAAAATATTCAGTTTAGCAGCCACAACAATAAAGTGCAACAGTGAAGTGCAAGCCTATCATGATTGTTTGTTATTCTCTACTCTACCAGCTCCGTGTCCTCCAACAAACCTGACTGTCAAAACTGAATGTGCCACCAACATGGCAATACTGACTTGGGCACCGAGTGCACACGCCAAATCCTACAAAGCCGAAGTGACCGGTAACCATGGCCCCGTAGTTACCTGTTGGTCCAACACAACAAATTGCTCTGTGCGCGTGGATTGTGGACATCAGTACACAGCAGTTGTGGTTGCTTGCAGTGAGACATGCAACAGCAGCGCATCCACCACTTTAACTTTTGACTCAGGTAAATGACACCTTATCTGCTCTCAGTGTTTCTTTATGTTTTGACATTCATAGCTAATAATCAGCTTAATCAGTTCTCCTCTCTTTCCTCCTCCGACAGCTCCATGTCTGCCTGACAATGTGCACGCAGAGCTGGACTGCAACGTCAACTCCTTTGCGGTGAAGTGGAGGGGGACCCTTGACAACAGTGGCACTTACACTGCAATGGCCATCGGCAGTGACGGGTCACGCGAAACTTGTGACAGCCCAGGCACCAACTGCACCATACACAACCTAAAATGTGGCCTCATGTACAGCATCGCTGTCACTACGTCATCCATCGACTGTGGCACCATCACTGACTCTAATTACAAGCTGCAGTCAGGTAGCAAAAGTTCAATGCAAAAGCGCTTTTCCCATTAATTACAGCACATTAAACTGAATAATAACAGGAACATGACGTTGCTAATTTGCATGCATATGGCCAGCAGTGAGAGTGAGAAGACAGTGTTTGCAGCTATGATAGGTATACAGAATAATATTTCAACTTGTTTCACTACAAATCAGCTGGTGTCATTTTTCTTGATGTAGTACTGTAAAATGCAATATGTGTATGTATTTTTGAAAATCAAGAAAATAGTGCGACATTTTCAGAAACCTTCACATTCACAGTCAGAGTAGAGATGGACAGGAAACATTGGGAGACAGAGAGAAAGTGGGGAATACACACGCAAAGTCCTATGAATTTTGTGTTTACATAGTATGTACCTGAAGCCATTAGACCACCAGGGCATGATGCTTATTTGCCTTTTTGCTCTTGGATTGTCCCAACCTAAAAGAACAAGACCCCTTTATTGTCTGATGACTGAGAAGCAACAGCCATCTGCTAAGTGTAGTTCAGCACTAAGAGTGGAAACAGGCAGAAGCTGCTGGCCTCGCTTAGATAATAAAATCACCTACCTTCACTTCACAGTTCACTAATTAGCATATCATATTGTGTTTGTTTCGTCCCTACAAAATCGTGTAAATACAGTTAATTGCAGTTATATTGGGGGCCCTGTGCTTCAAATTATCTATGAAATAGATTCAGAAACAGCAAATATTATTATGCATGTCTTGATAATAGCCTAAAAGGGAATCATTTAAATGGTGCATTATATAGCATTATATAGTTGACAGCTTTTTATGTTACTCCATTACTTTTAATAACCCCCCCCCCCATTTATCCTCCTCTTCATCACCAGCCCCCTGTAAACCAGACAGCGTGTGGGTGGATTTGCAGTGCAGCACTAATATGGCGTTGGTCACCTGGAAAAACTCAGGTCCAGACCAGACCCAGCATGTGTCAGCGGTGGACAGCAGAGGAATGACCTACACCTGCAACTCCAGCAGCTCCAACTGCACCTTCGACAAGCTGCCCTGCGGGGAGACATACACTGTCCATGTGGTCGGCCACACAAAGACATGCAGGAGTGAAGCGGCTATCGCCGACCAGTTCAAAACAGGTAGTTTTAATTTCGCACACTGCAATGTACAGCAAGCTGCTCAGCATCAAGTATCGTGGTTACACAGCTACTGATTAGGAATGTTTCAACGGGTTTAATTGTGATTTTCCAAACTCAGAAACATTTAAAACAGAAGAACTGGTTTATTACATGGGAATGAAAAAATCCATCCTATAACTATACGAATAATATGATTATCTAGTGAGGAGTTGACAGGAGGAGTCAATCTCAGCTTATACTGGATGACAGTCAATGGACACCCTGGACAGATATTGTATCAAATTTACACCTACGGAAAATTTAGAGTCTCCGGTCAGCTTAATATAAGTTGCTTTTGAGACTGGGATTCTGCAGATTCAATTGTAAATAATGTATTTTATGAGGGACTTGGAAAACGATCATTTTCTACTTGTATTGCATGACACAACAGAATTTCTACTTAAAAGTAATTAATTACAATTAAAAACAGAAAAAAAACCCCTCCAATTTTAAAACTTGGTTAGCAGAGTCTTTGCAATCTGCACACCAGTATATATAATCTAATTCATTATTTGATTATTTTTAATGGGGCACTTAAGTGTAGGCATTACATTTCAAGCCTGAGTGATCCTGGAAAACACGCACTGACCCCATTGTGTTCCCCACCAGCTCCATGTGTTCCCACACAACTCACAGCACGGGTGGACTGTGGCTCTGGCATCACCGTGGTTACATGGGATGGATCACGTGGTGCCACATCGTACACCGTCTATGCTTTGGGCAGTCTCGGCCACAACGATCACTGTGACCATCACGACACCACCTGCGATTTCATAGACCTGGCGTGTGGACAGGACTATAACATCACAGTGGTTGCCCACCATGACACCTGTGACAGCATGGAAAGCGAGACCACCACTGCCTCCACGGGTAACCACATACAACCAGACGAGCTGTTTATTAACACAATTATTATTATTATTTAAAAAACAAACAAAAAAAAAGCTTAAAGGTATTCAGCGTTATAAATAGGAATATGGTCAAATCTAAAAACCAAAAGTGCTTTTCTGCATGTTTAAATATCCATAACTAAGTCTGACTAGCATACAGAAACACCCCTCTCTATTTTTGGCTGCATGGTTCCTTCCACCGTTAAAGCTCGTTAGCTCGTAGGTCCGTCAGGTATTAGCATTTTACCAGCGTTAGCATTATACCATGAAAATAATATGGCGCATAAAATACATTTGTAAATTACTACATTATTTAAAGTGGCTCTAACATGTGGATAAACCCAGAGATAATTAACATTAGGTAACAGTGTTATCTTGTCTTTTGTTGATACTAGCAGCTAAGCTAATAAGTTTAAAAAAAGAACATGGTTTTGAATTGGGTAAGTATAACACTAGCTACACTAACTTATGTAACTAACCAGCTGTTATCCTTAAGGAAAAATCCTTTTACACAAACATTCCCTTGGTCTATTTGATATTAAATGCAAAATAAAAAGTTGAAAAAAAAATTAAAAATAGGCAGCAACCTTAAGTCTTTATCGCTTAAGTCCAATAATACAATTTTGTAAAGTGCAGGCAGGAAAAAGGTACTTTAAGTCATTGTTTATGTGAGAGTACAAAGCTTCGATGGACACACGCCAACACTTTTCTTTTTGCATTTTATATTTAATAGGTTGAACAAGTTTTAGAAAACAAAAAGACAAAAAACTAATTTAATAATGAATTTAAACTTTTCATAAACGGATTATGTTGTAGTTTTTATGGCTGTCACTAGGTGGTGCTAAAGAACTTGATTTTACTAGCAGGTAAAGGTTCTGACAGTATGTTATAAAAACCTAAGCAAACGTTAAAAATTACATTTACAATGCATTCGTGGAACAATATAGTAAAATTACAGTTTGTTTTATACAGCGAATACCCACATATCCTTTTCTGTACTACATTTATTTTTCTCTTTCGCCCTTCCTTTAGGTCCTTGTCCCCACAGTGATTTGAAGACAGAACTGGACTGCAACACTAACACAATCGATGTGTCTTGGTCTCCTGGAAGTGGCATCCTCCACTACAGCGCCTCAGCTGAATCCTTTTCCATCTCACACCAGCAGACGTGCTCAACCAATGGATCCTCCTGCAATATCACCTCTCTGCACTGTGGGCAAAACTACAGAGTGAGCGTCTCTGGACAGGGACAGAACTGCCCTAGTCCTGCTCAGTATTTCAACAGAGTCAACACAGGTAGGTTGACTTATATTATGATGTAAAGAGTAATATGTAAAACAACCGAGAGAGCGATGAAAATGGGTGAAAGAAAAACCTTCATCAACACATTTTATGTTGCCAAAGTTTTTATTTAACCTCTTATAAATTGGATGTTACATTGTATTTAAAGCTGTCTTTTTAAAAATGTATCTAAATTGTCATGAATACTAACATTAATATTGTACAGTGGCAAAATTTGCAGTAGTGAGATGCTGGACCTTTCACACATTTAACACTGTTAATTATTTGAACTATATGTATCCTAGCTGTTTCACTTGTTCAAAGTCATTACATTAAGCATGGTGACTCTTTCATCTGTTTATGAACTTTTAGATCGCCATCCAAACTATTATTTATATATCTAAACTACTGCAGCTGTGTTTTCTCCCACCATATATCAGTTTTGTTGAATTGATCCAGAAATGAAACTATTTCACAGCTATTATCTCATTCTAATCTAGCTAACTAACTATTTGAGCTTCTCTACCAGCTTGCTAACCAGTGTCAAAATTAAGTATGTCATTTAAAAGTTTTGTAATTATTGTATTTAGCTGTAATAATAATAATAATAATAATAATTGATCAGATTTATATAGCGCTTTTCTAGACACTCAAAGTCGCTTTACACTGTCGATTATTCATTCACACACATTCATTCCGGTGGAGGTCGCTACAGTGGTAGCCACAGCTGCCCTGGGGCAGACTGACAGAGGCCTGGCTGCCATTCTGCCCTCCGACCACCACCTCAATGAATCCATTCATATGCATTCACACCAGGCAAGGTGGGTGAAGTGTCTTGCCCAAGGACACAACAACTATGACACAGGGTACAGGGTGGAATCGAGCCGCCAATCTTCCGATCATTGACCGACTTGCTCTACCACCTGAGTCACAGCCGCCCATAAATCACACACATTCATTCCGGTGGTGTATAACTTAAAGCAACGAAAAGTAGTGAAAAATAATGTGAAAGCAATGCCAACAGTTACTCAATCATATTTAATAAAAAAAATACAAGCACCTCTTCACTCTTTGAATGCACTTGATGATGCCTGTAAATGACCTGACTCACCGTTCTTCCTTCACTCCTCCAGCTCCCTGCCCTCCCACCCAGGTGAAGGTCAACTCGTCCTGTGAATCAAACAACATCTTGGTGTCATGGGACGGCTCACAGGGCTCGGTCTCTTACATGGCTGTGGCGGAAAATGCACAGGGCGACCGGTGGACCTGTAACACTACCGGCACCACCTGCTGGATGTCTGCTCTGCTCTGTGGACATGAGTACAAGGTCTATGTTGTTGGTATTGATGAGACGTGCAAAGGAGCCAAGAGCGAAATAAAAATAATTCACACCGGTAGGTATCTAAACTCAAGTTATAGTTGGCTTGTGTATGGTCAGTTTAAAATGCAATTTTACCGTGAAAAGCAGCTCAGCTATAGTATTTATTTACAAAGGAAACTGAGTGACTCATGATTGACTCAGCAATTTAAATACATTTCATTTTACATTTACTGTCTGCGTAAACAGCTTGATGGTGTAATATTAGTACTTTATTTACTTGCCTTCTTCTTCAGGCTTTACATTTCTGACTTTCTCCCTCATTAAACTGTGCAGGATGCTGATTTTGAAAATGTGTCCAAAAAGAAAAAGCCAGCAGCACATACTCAATATACTCTGTTTATGTCATCATAGAAATTACATAGTATAGTCATATAAAAATTTGCATCATATTTCCAGTATTTTAGAAAATACACACATTTTTTATTTTGCATTTTTTAATATTTAGCCATCATACATATAAATGTATGGGAAAACAATCCTTGAGAAGTCTTAAAATAAGGTATAGAACAAACTCCAGACAAATGATGACGTATAAAAAAAATAAGTAGTGGTTTCAACAAAAGCTGCATCTTATTAAGGTACCATTTATTGAGTGACTTTGACTATGAATTTCACCGTATCATGTGGTCTCTTTGTGTATAACACATATATATTAATAATATTTATTACATCAACATTTGTAATTAGATTCATGATAATACAGTCTATTTAACAAAATACAACTAAGACCAGGATTTTTGTGAATTTATTTTTCTTACTCTGACTTTTCTATTTTATTCTTGTTTGGTATTTCAATTGCCTTTTCCTGTGCTGTCCGCTCTTACGATACAAAATCCCCAAAAAGGAGCAAAAACTAAACAATGCACGAAAGGATTCGAAGGTATCACACACAGACCACTGGTGATTCACACAGGGAAGGTTCACAAGAAAACTGACAACTAAAGGAGGGAGAAACACGACTATGGCCTCATTCCAATCTCCACACAGAGAATCACAGACTTTTAGGCATGTTTGTAGAGTTGTTTGTATTTCTAAGCATCAGTATGTTTTTGGCCTGGGGCTGCATGGTGGTTGGTGGTTAGCATTGCTGCCTCACAGCTAAAAGATTGCATCCCAGCCAGACAATAATCAACTGAATGAAACACAAGTCTAAATTCCCTTTTGTTTGTAGTGCAGTGCGTAGTTTTCTATCAATGTATGCTGTCATGATTGTGTGTCCAGTTCCTTTCATACTAATTTGAGCCCTCGTGAACTCAAACCCTGAAGCTCTGCAGCTTTGTTGTCAGTTAAGCCTGTGAGGGTTTCGTGTTTAGGTCGTAGGTTGGAGACTGGAATGGGGCCTATACACAGAGAACCCCTTACAAGACAAGACAAAGATAAAACTAATACGAACAGGGCAGACGATCAGAAAATTGGGATGCATTAAAATGGGAGAAAACAAAAGAACACAGGAGGTTCTTTTACATAACAGAAACCACGACTACAACCAAGACCCTAAACCATGGCAATCTCCTTCAACGTCACTGTATACTAACAGTTATGTTTCCTTCAACCAGCCCCCTGCGTACCAGAGAACGTACAGAACCATCTCGACTGTCTGTCTGGTGTCCTCAATGTTACCTGGCAGTCGACTGGTCACTTTTTAAAGTTCCACACCTCAGTGATGAGCAGCAAAGGTCACGTCAGCACCTGCACAACAAACAAGCATCACTGCGTAGTACGGAACTTGGGGTGCGGGCTGACCTACAATGTTACAGTCGTGGCCCAAGATGAGACTTGCAACAGCTCCCACAGCCCCATAGAGCAGATCTCTTCAGGTAAGGGAAAAGTTCCGTTTAGTAGTTACAGTGCATCTTATTACAAATACATAGCGGCATAAGCATGTATGTCTGGTGTTGCTGTGAGAAAACCTTCTAAACATGAAGTTGTATGTTTTCATGAATTTGTGAGTTCATCCAGACAACTTGAAAGACAAAGAGTCCCTCTTAGTCTTTAGAAAACCAGCAGAACATGAAACTTTTTGAACTTCTGTGTTTCTTGTTGTCTTTCATAATGTTTTTTTTTATATGACAAAGGTTTACTCTTTCCTCTTAATCATGTTTTTATCTTTATCTCAACTTCTCTTCTTCCTCAGCTCCCTGCCCTCTCCCGTCGTTCCTTCCTGTGGTGAACTGCAGCACCGGAAATGTATCTGTCACCTGGAACAACAGCATGCCGGGGATTGTGTACACAGTGTTTGCAGTTGACGCCATGGGTTACAGACATAACTGCAGCGGTACCAACAGAGGCTGCACTCTAAACACACTGAAGTGCGGGACAGAGTACAGTGTCACCATCACACCGTCCAGGGGCGATTGTGTGGGCAAAGACAGCCACACAAAAATGATCATGACAGGTAAGAAATATGTGTATTTTACTAAAATGAAGAGGTAGATGTGCGTTTCTTTTAGTCTCTTATTTCAGTAATTTGTATTTATTTGCTTAATCTTCTGTTTTATTTTAACTTTTTTAAACCCTATTTACTGCTCTTTTTATGTTGTCTTGTGTGTATTTTATTTTATTTATCTTAATGCATCTGTGCGTCTTTCGTACAGCATTCGTGTGCCTTGTCAAGTGTATTTCCACATCCTGGTCATTTGAGAGTATTTGTCAAAATGAAAAGATTTTTTTTTTTCCTTTTTTAAAAAAATTTAGCTCAAAATTAAAACCTGGCATGAGTTCAGCTCATGATCAGACGTTCATATATAGTGGCAGGGACTGTTTAAGCGATTCTTTTGATTACATTCTTATGAGGCAGCCATTTCAATGCACTATTTTACCAGAACATGTTAACCCAACACAGAGATGCCAAAAAAACTTCTTGATGTTCCAGCACTTGAAAAATTGAAGAATAATGTCAGTGAAAAATTTGAAGAGGTTTAATGTCAGCATTCAAGATTAATAAATGTCACTGTCAGGGTATAAAGCAGTTTTTTTCTAATAGTATTTAATAGTACAGATGTGTACCAGTAATTCCAAATTTCTCATTTTTTGCTTTTGAAGTTTGAGCTACTACAGATAGCACTTATTTCTCTTTTTCTCCGTTTAGACTACTGACTGTTATTACAATTTCTTTTCGAAAAAAAGAATCGACACCAGCTGTATTTATCTTACAGATGTAAAAATGTATCTTTCTATCTAACTTTCTAATCATATATCTTAATTTTTTATTTTTTTTTTAACTTTCAATTAAATAATCTGTTCACTTAAGAACTGTGAGGACTATGTGCAACTAATATGCTGATTTTCTGTCCAGTTCCCTGTGTACCTCACCTGTCAGACGTGGAGATCGACTGCTTGATGAACTCAGCGTGGGTGATGTATAATTACTCTGCCGGAGCTAAAGACTACATTGTTATGGCAACAGACAGCCAGGGTAATGTCCAGACATTTGAGTGCAACTACACTTCAGACTGGATGTGCCCTCTGCCACCACTGATGTGCAGCAAGAATCTCACCTTTACTCTGAAGGCTCAGGACCAGCAATGCACCAGTGCGCCCAGCAACGCCATCACAACTGAAACAGGTAATTATTTCATAAATATTTCACATATATGTCCATCCATCCATTATCTATACAACGCTTAATCCTAACTAGCGCTGCGGGGGGCTGGAGTCTATCCTTAGGGCGAAGGCAGGAGACACCCTGGACAGGTCACCAGTCTATCACAGGGCTACACTTAGAGACAGACAACCAAGCACACTCAGATTCACACCTACAGACAATTTAGAATCACCAATTAACCTCAACATGTTTTTGGACGGGCTGCAGGGTGGCGCAGTTGGTAGCACTGTTGCCTCGCAGCAAGAAGGTCCCTGGTTTGCGTCCCGGTGAGGACACCTGGGATCTTTCTGCTTGGAGTTTACATGTTCTTCCCGTGCAGCGTGGGTTCTCTCAGGGTTCTCTGGCTTCCTCCCACACGGTCCAAAAACATGTTGAGGTTAATTGGTGATCTTAAATTGTCGGTAGGTGTGAATGTGAGTGTGCTTGGTTGTCTGTCTCTAAGTGTGGCCCTGCGGTGGACTGGCGACCTGTCCAGGGTGTCCCCTGCCTGCTATGTGAGGATTAAGCGGTGTATAGATAATGGATGGATGGATGTTTTTGGACTGTGTGGGAGGAAGAGAGAGAACCCAGAGAGAACCCACGCTGCATGGGGAGAACATGCAAACTCCACGCAGAAAGATCCCGGTGCCCCCACCGGGACACGAACTGGCGACCTTCTTGCTGCGAGGCAACAGTGCTATCAACTGCGCCACCTTGCAGCCCACAAATATATCCTCCACGAATTATTAATATATTTTGCTTTGTTGAAAATATTTTTAAAAAGATTGAAAAGTTTATTATTTTACGATTTCATCTTGAATGCCATATTTTAATTGGTTTGAAATGTCATGTTTTAATGAATAAATAGCAAACCATTTTTTAAAAAGGTTATTACTTCGTACAGATTTTACCTAAACGACAGTTTGACTGCACCAATTTTAGTTTGTGTCAGTTTTTTCTACAAACATCTGAAAAACCTAAAATCTGCTATTTTCATTCATATTTACAATGTACCTCACGTTCACCCTTTCACAAACACACTTCAATTGTAGAATTGGAGAAAAAATCAGCTACTTTTTGGGGGCAATGACTGTTCTACTAGAAAACACACCAAAGTTTGAGAATTCTTTGCTTTTAAAGTTAGTTAAAAGTGATTTTTCTTGGTCATGTGGCCCTCATGAGGGTTTTTATGTGAGCTGTATGCTTTTTTTTGCTTTTTTTTTTCCTCCCACAGTCCAAAAACATGTTGAGGTTAATTGGTGATTGTAAATTGTCAGTAGGTGTAAATGTGAGTGTGCTTGGTGGTCTGTCTCTAAGTGTAGCCCTGTGATAGACCTGTCCAGGGTGTCCCCTGCCTTCACCCTGAGTCAGCTGGGATAGACTCCAGCCCTAGTTGGGATTAAGCGGTGTATAGATAATGAATGGATGGATGTTCAGGATGAGTGCTATGGTCAGAAGGCTCGTTTTAAATTTTAAACGGTACCTTAAAGCGTTTCTCTCTCCACAGCTCCCTGTCCTCCTGAGGACGTTATGGACAAAGTGGACTGTAAAAACGGAACAATTTCCGTCACCTGGTCAGGTGTTCCTGGTGCGATAAGGTACAAAGCCATGCTGGAGGAGGTGTCTGGAGGTAATACCAGCTGCTGCACCACACCAGGCACCAGCTGTAATATCACACATCTGCCATGTGGAGAAATGTACACCCTGCATGTCATGGCTGAGGGACGAACCTGTAATAGTTCAGAGATCAGAGGCCACATCACCAGGACAGGTAAGATACATACAGTATATTACGCCTGGGCATACATTCGGCTATTTTGTAAAGTATATTTTTTTAAAAATTAAAACTGAGAATGAAGTAATGATAGCTACAGTGTCCAGAATTTCAGAGATAAACATGACTGAAATGACAAAAAAAAAAAAAAGCAGAAATACATGTATCTCCTCTTCAGCTCCATGTGTCCCTGAGGATCTACAAGTCAGTCTGAGCTGCAGCAACAATGTGGCCTCCATGTCCTGGAGCCAGAGCAAGGGAGGACAGCTTTACGTTGTGAAAGCAGTGGGTACTGATGGCCACACGCACGAGTGCATGTCGCCTGGGAGCCAGTGTGATCTGACAGATCTGCATTGTGGAGAGTACTATACAGCCACTGTGACTGCAGAGGTCATGGAGTGCAAGAGCAAACCAAGTGACAGTGTGATGTTCAAGACAGGTAAGTACTTTAATCTGTGTGTTTTTAAAAATTCTTTTCCTTACAGAGAGTTATATGACACAATATGTAGTTTTATTATGTGTTTATGGCACATATAAAGATGTGTTCCATCAAGTTTGTTGACGCTCATGAAACCAAGGTGTGACTAGTAGTTTACCAGCATAGACCAGGAAATGTAGTGCTTGAGTCTGGTTCATAAGCCTCTGTAAAACCTCATAGTTGCAATTTTTATGTTACATTTTTGGTAGGATTTTGTTACCTTCAGACAAAGCAATGTTGGCTTCCCCCATATGTGTTCATGCTAAGCTAAGCTAATTGACTGCTAGCTCCAAGTTCATATATATTGTGCAGACATGAGAGTGGTAATGCTCTTCTCATCTAACTGCCAGTGGAAAAAAAAGAAAAAATATTTCTATAATTCCACAGCAGATATGATCTCCAAAATAGAGTTCCAGTTTCAAAATCTTTAGAATAACAAAAACTATTTTCAGCCCCGCTGTAAGCCTTCACTCTGTCTCTCCTCATCAGTGCCATGCACGCCGGCAAACATCTCCTCTATGGTGGACTGCGAGACCGATTCTCTGATTATTTCCTGGTCCGATAGCCCAGGAGCTGATTCCTATTTGGCCACATTGGAGGACAGCATTGGTCGGGGCACAACCTGTCAGGGCACAATAGAGGGCTCCTGCAATGTGACAGGAATCGCCTGCGGTCAGATCTACCACGTCTTTGTGGTCTCCTCTGATGGAATCTGTGACAGCCCACCCACTCCTGTGATTGACACACCTTCAGGTAGGACTGAACTGACAGACAGGTATCTTAAGAATGGAGGCTAAAAACAGAAATGAAGAGGAAATGAATGCACTGACCCACAGAACTAAACAGTGAGCTTAAAAATAATGCTTTAAAATAAACAGAGTGAGCTTTAAAATTAATGTAGGTTGTCATATATTTTATACATTATGAAACCCTTTTAAAATAATGCATTATGTAAAAAATGCATTTGTATTTGACTTAATATCAAGATTGTTTCTTGGTAAAAAACAAAATTTTAGTGGAAATGTGTTTATAATTGTTTTGTTTTTTGCACTTGTTTTGTTTTTTGCACTTGTAATGCTTTTGTGTTACACACGTTTACATCTTAACATCGTTTAGAGTCCAGTGTGTAGGATTTAGTAGGATCGATTGGCAGGGATAAAGAATCGTTTATTACTGTAGAATGAGCCCTTTATATTCACAGAGGGAGTGTGTCCTCTTCCATGAGGCCCACTGTAATGTGCTGCCGGGTTTCTACAGTAGCTCAGAACAGAAAAACCAAGCAGTGGCTCGAGAGGGCGTCTTTTGCATTTTCACAGTTTTTAGTGGCTACCATAGACTGTATAAAAGATGGACGTAGCAACCGGCCCTGAAAAATGAAGCCAACCCAGAAGTGTCAAAAACCTGCAATATCACTACGTCCGCTAGTTGCTGGCTCCAAAAAGCCCTGGCTCCCATAGACTTGAATTGGAAAAGAAGTGATCACACGAAATACCGCATTCCTCCAGCTCAGGATTTTTTTCTTATTAGTTTTCATGGTCAAGTCCAGAGATCAGGTGGCCAATTTGAAAATAAATCAATGCTGAATTGTTTAAAAATCGTCAAAATTTTGCGGGGCAAGAGGCGTGGCTGGCTTGATTGCATCGTCGGCAGCGACGATGCAGACACAGCGAGCAGAAGGCGATAAATGTGGGCGGGCAGAGAGGGCCCGCCTCTCAATCCGTCTGACCAATCGCTGCCCCTATGGCTCCACCCCCCTCCGACGATTTTTGCGTCACTGGCTCCAAAAATCCAAGATGTCAACCAGGAAGTAGCAAAACCCTGGCTTCATTTTCTCAGTGCAGAAACCAACGGGTGACGTCACGGTAGCTACGTTCATCTTTTATACAGTCTATGGTGGCTACCATAGGTGCTCGTACATGCTTGGAAGGTCAGGATGAGGTGAGGGACATTTAGTTGGTTGTAATCTGTAACCTCACTGCCATATGTCAGTAAATCCTACAAACTGGACCTTTCATATACTCTCCTTCTTTCTTACTTACTTGTTTTCTCATTTCTTCATCAGATATTAGTTTGAGGTATAACGCCAAGTTTGACGGTCTTACTTGTCCCTCTTTTAGCCCCCTGTAAACCAAGACATATCGAGGCGGTAATAGACTGCCACACGGATTCAGCCGTGGTGCACTGGGACGTGGGTTTTGGAGCTTTGTGGTACATAGCCATGGCCACCACAGCGTCAGGTCACCAAGTCACCTGTGAGACAAACATGACCTACTGTGAGCTGGAAGGCCTGCACTGTGGTCAAAGTTACTCAGTGTCTGTCAAAGCTGCAGGAGAGAGCTGCGGCAGCATTATTGCTACCATGACAGGACAGCTGGAAACTGGTGAGCAGCACAATAAAGGCTTATCACGTCAAATAAATACATTGCGTCTCCCATCTTGTCAAATAATTTCAGACTCTATAAAGTCTCATTGTTTTAAAATTGCAATTATTATGAACTATTTTTAACCTTTTCCTGTTAAAATGTTATTGTTGAAAGAATTTTCTAGAAATGAGTGTCAGTATCTCACAGTGTTTGCACAAGTGCTGTTTTTTAGTTCATTAATTTTTAAGCTTAATAATTCTCATAAATTGCTAATTCAGAGGATTTCAATTCTTATTTTCCACAATTTTACCTTAAATCGTCATAGTCACCACACAAGTACAGGACATGCTTTTTGGTAACACAATATTTTTCCTTACTTACTTTTGTTATATTAGTCATTTTAAGGATTCAAGATATCTGCTATAAGGAAATGGTATGATTTGATGATCAAAGGATGTGTCTCATTTAAACTTCCATCCATCCTATCTTTTAGCGCCTTGCATCCCAGAACACGTCACCACTCATTACAGCCTAACGATCGGCCAGGTGCAGTGGGACATGACCACTGGTGCTGCTTACTACTTTGTCAAGGCAGAAACAGACGAGGGCCTCTCATCAACCTGTAATACTCCTGACACCTTTTGTGCACTGTATGACATGAAGTGTAGCCAAAAGTACCATGTGAAAGTCACAGCAAACAACAATGTGTGCACAGACGCGTCCACCTCTACTGAAAACGTCACGATTATAACAGGTAGGAAAACACGTCGACATAACTTTTAAGTTCTTTCTCCATTAGAGCAGCAAAGCTTTGATTGTTTTAATTGTCAAAACAGGACTTTTAAGAGCATCACCCTCAGTTTGAGAAGTTGGAACAGGATTTTTTTAGAGCCAAAACAATCAATTCATTAGAAACCTTGATTGTCAGTATGTAAATTTGATGTTTTAAAATGAAAACATGTAAACTCATGGCTATTATTGTGTATTTAGATTTTTAATTTTGCAGCAAACCACAACATCCACTCTACATCATTCAGCATTTTCTGTCTCTTTTTCTGCACTCAGAGCCTTGCCCGCCCAAACACCTGCAGGCAACTGTTAACTGTCAGGAGAACATTGGACTCGTGTCATGGGAGGCCAGTATGGGCGCTGTGGCTTACAAGACTGAGCTTGCTGGGCGCGATGGCCACTTACTGTCCTGTCACACGAATGACACTTACTGCGACATCGAAGGCCTCCACTGTGGAGTCATCTACCACACCAGTACCTATGCCATTGGGGAGACACTCGACAGCCTCCCCACTGACGTCGTCCTGCTGGTTTCAGGTACTGTGCACTCACAAACTGGGTTTATTTTATTAGAATAGTGTGTTGAATCCTCTTTCCTACACCTTATACTTGCAGTTTTGAACTACGATTCATCACAGTTGAGACGTATTATTGACCAGGATAATATAAACCACATTAATGGCAGAAAGCATGCAGAATTTTGTCTTGTACATCTTTCTTGAGTTGAGTTTTCTGAGAAGGGCACCAATTTTTGATTTACAAAATACTGGTACCATCTCAAATTGGGTGCTGGGGGATAAGATCATATTGAAGTGAGTCTTATTTAACTGTATTTTTTCTGATGACAGGTATGAAAGTGTCTGTGCCTATAAGAAATTACCTGTAAGAGCAGAAAACAATCTAGACATCAGCTAGTCTCTAATGAAGAGAATCTCTGCTATACTGCTTAGTGAAAATACAGTTATCCTTTGCTGGATGTGGCTGAAGCTTGGTGGATTGGCTGTGTAAATGACTGACAGAGATATGAGTGAGAATCTTATATTCATCTTAGAACAGCTTACAAGATGTCTTGACAGAGGATGTCAGTCCAGTCACAAATTTAGTTAAATTATAGCAAGTTCTAGAAACCTTTAGAGTAGGCTACTTTCCAAAGCAGATAGCAGCCTGGTTAGAGCAGTGTAACTTCAATGTACTAAAGCTGAGACTAGAATGGTAACTGTAGTCATTAGTCATTTAAGTATCAAGATCAGTGCAGCTTTAAAGTGTATTTAATACAAATGACTCACCATACCAACATTCCCTTCTGTCTGTAGCTCCCTGTCCAGCTGGAAATGTGGCAGCTACATCAGACTGCTACAGCAACACAGCATTTGTCTCGTGGGACGAAGCCAATGGAGCAATCTCCTACATGATAACTGCTGAATCGAAAGAAGGCTACCAGGCGTCATGTGAGACTGATCAATTCCACTGTCATCTGACAGACCTGCATTGTGGTCAAATGTACTACATCACGATCACGAGCATCAGCGACCACTGCCACACTGTGACACACACTAATGTCACCTTCAGTACACGTGAGTCGAGCAGCATCTCACTGCAGAGATCCCAAATATATTTTATATGAAAAACTAGAATCATGTGTTCCTTCTTTGTGATACTAAACTGACCAGGCCCCTGTAAGCCAATGTATGTTGGAGTGGACCTGCAGTGTGGGACGAGCACCGCTAACTTGTACTGGGAGGATCAAGAGGAAGTGGAGCTCTACATGGCGACTGCCACCTGCAGCGGCGGAATGACTCTGCATTGCAACTCCACCAACTCCACCTGCCAGTTCTCTAACCTGACCTGTGGCGAAACCTACAAGTTCTCTGTAACTGCACACAGCTATATGTGCTACAGTGAAACCAGCAGCACAGTGGAGATTAAGACCGGTAGGAGACATTACCATCAGTAGACTATTTGCTCAGATTAGTTGAGTAAGAGATTTGTTTTTAAGTTATCTATTGGGGGATTAACAGCGCTCCTTATTTCTGGCCTGTTAGGTGTCCTGTACATAAAGATATAGAAGGAATTGACCTCCTCACCAAACAGTCCAGACAATTGAACAAATTAGTCACTGTTGGTATCTAGATTTCTTCTTTCACTTTTTACTTTTAATGATTGGTTCATCCTTTTTTATAGTATTATTAGTATAGTATATAATAGTATATAAGATCAGTGTTATTTTTTTTGACTAAGCAACCAAATTTTAAAAAATGTTAAAATATTGTGGTTGCAAGCTGCCTTTTCACACTTTCATTATTCTTATTTGTCTTTTCAAAACATGTGTCATAATTAGTTGATTAAATTCGTGTGTCACCCAGATTTGTGCAGTTATTTTAGAATGCATTTATCCAGCATTATTATCCTTTTTGTGAGTTATAGTCACTGCACTGAAACAGTCAATAACAGACGTTTCAATCATTAAAAAACTCTTTACAACTATTTAAGTAATAAACAAATCCTTCCCTAATTATTAATCCTGTATGCATCTTTAAACAAACAAACAAAAATCTCTTGTTCTAGCTTGTAAAATATGAATATATGCTTTTTTTTTTTTTTGATGACCGTAAATATTTATTAAAGCAATACAAAAATACTCTTTTAAGATTACTTTCAACTTTCAACACCACAAACCATGTCTGAGCTGGAATAGATTTTCTCTAAGGATACTAATGTGATATTTGTGTGGAACTTATCCTTCACCAGAACCCTGTCCGGCAACTAACCTGAGGATCACTGGGTCGTGCTACAACGCTACATCGACAGTGATGGTGGAATGGTCTGACGCTCCAGGTGCATTGCTCTACGTGTTGACAGCCTCTGGAGACCTGGGATTTACCACATCTTACCAAACCAATGAAACCATGATGGAGACTGATCTACCCTGTGGACAAGTATATACTTTCACCGTAATATCTCAAGATGAACGATGTGACAGTGTTGCGAGCATGCCCGAACAATACAAGACAGGTTTGTGTCTCATTCAGTCTTTTGTATCTCATTCTGTACAATGAATTGTGGGCGATGATTAAATGTCTCACCCTCTCCTCAGGTCCCTGCATCCCACAGCATGTTCAGAGCTTTACACACTGTGAGGACAGTGTGGGCGCGGTCAGCTGGGCGACGAGTCCCGGAGCAGAGTCATACGTGGCCGTTGCAACGGCACAGGATGGCAGCACTGTCATATGCGCCACAAACACCACCACCTGCATTTGGGATGACCTGCATTGCGGCACAGAGTATACCGTCCACGTCACCGCCATCGACAACATGTGCAACAGCCTGCCTAGCAACAGCACTTCCATACGGATGGGTAAACGAGCTCTTAAACTGTACATGTCAGCAAGTCAAATTACCCTAGAACTTCATGTGAAAGCAAATTTCCTTGTGGAAATTTTATTCGTCACATGAAAATGAATAAATTCACTGCAGAATGCAGTAGTACAATTGTACAAAAATGCACTATTGTTGCTCTGAAATGATGCAATGCGAAAAGTACCGGTATAGAGGCGGTACTATCAGCTGATTAAACAATTAGTGAATCATTAGTCTAGTGTCCCCAAAATAAGCAGCATTAAAGCAGTGTTTCTGTTTTACAGTCGTCCTCACATTTATTCATACCCTGCCATTAAAGAAGGAAAAAAACAGGTGTCACTGAAATAAGCTGAAATTGACAAAAGTAATAATAAATCAAAATGTGTTTAAAATCATGACATTGCTTTTAAATTGTGGTTCAACAGATAAAAAACAAGCAAACAAGCATGATGGGACCCGGAAACTATTATTTTGTAGAACATCCCTTTGAGCCAATCACTGCAATCAAGTGTTTTCTGTAACTCTCAGTCAGACTTCTGCACCTGTTGACAGGTATTTTGATTTTGTCCCACTGCTCATCAGCAAAGTGCTCTAATTTGTCTGGGACAGTTTTGTTTGTTTTTTAAAAAATTATTATTTTCAACCACAATTCAAAAGCAATGTCTTATTTCACTAAATTATAATATAGAAATTTTTCATTTCTTACTGCTTTTTTCAGTTTCTAGGTATTTGAGGGACTATTGTGAATTTTGCCTTTTCTTTAATGGAAAAGTATGAATACATTTGAGGACGACTGTATGTCTGTGTAAACTGATGATCTGTTGGACTTAAACGGTTGATACAGCAGCACAAAACAACACATTTGATTACATCATCTTAGGCTCCTGGACATTACAACAGACATTTTACACTATTTTTTAACTAAATAATTAAGAGATTAAATATGAAAATGATCAATATCCCATTTAAATTTTTGTCTTCTCCTTTCTCAGCACCTTGCATACCCGAGAACTTGGTGTCATCTTTTGACTGCGATATGAAGGTGAATACTTTAACTTTGCTCTGTTCTTCAGAAGTTACTGCTCAGTAAATAAATCTGCTTTTATCATTTCTGCTCTGTGAAGCACTTAGTAAATTTGAATGGGACTGTCCAAAGTAGATGACAGAATTAAACTGTAATCTTCTCCTCAGGTGGGATCGCTGTCCTGGAATGCCACTGAAACTGCAGTGTTATACATTGTGACTGCAGAGAACAACGGCGGCCACAAAGTGTCGCTGAGCACCAACGAAACCTGGACTTCCATTTCTGAGTTCATGTGTGGTCAGGAGTACTTCCTCTCTGTTCAGGCGAAAGATTTTGTGTGTACAAGCAGCCCCAGTCCGCCCTCCATGCTTAAGACAGGTAGATTCCTATTTCTTACCCGACACTCTAGTTTTTTTACATTTTAATTTGTTATTTTCAAAAATGCTCAGATTCAGCATCAAAGTGAAAGAAGAACACATATTTCTAAAAAACAAATTCAGAATTACTCTCAAAATAGGTATATATCTTTAAAGGTTCCAAATTTTAGAGTTGTTATATGTCTTGTCACAGGAAATTTTTATTGATCTGAATGCAACTATCTCTTTAAACCTGCATGTGGAACTTTTGTATGACCCTTCTGGCAGTGAGAATAATTACACAGGCACTTTCACTATTTCCAGTGACATACGCTTTTTAAGACAGTAATCCTTTCTTTGAATGCTGAGTTTCTTCTTTACCTGTAGCACCAGAACCTTCTCCTGGACACACACATCATTGCCAGTGCAAGAATATGAATGAAATGAAATGAAATGAAATGAAATGAAATGAAATGAAATGAATGAAAAATACTTTATTTATAAATTCAATCTTGTAAAATCTCACTTTTTTTTTTTTTAATGACCTTTATATGGCCACAGATATCAAATTTAATTGCAATCTCTGTGCAAATTGCATTTGCAGATTTACCTGGTGCTAATGGTCTCGTTTTGCAAGGGTTGAGTATAATGTATGTTCATTTAGATGCAAAAGTCCTGCACTTTGCTCAGATATACCAAGAAACTACACTTAGTTTACATTTTTTACTGGTGGGCATTGTGTTCCATCATCACATCACAGGGATTTAAAATGTGAACAGCCTACAACCCCTATATTGCTGTGAAAACAACTGCAGGCAGGCCAGAGAGTAACACATTCCCAAACATGTGGATTGTGCACCAGCCTTTGCAAACAGGCTACACAGTCGTTGTGATGCTCTTTTCATCCTGTCCGTTCTCCTTACTGCCTTCAGAACCCTGTCCGCCTACCGACGTCTCCAGCGTCATGAACTGCGCCTCCAACATTGCGGTGGTGTCGTGGACTGGCTCACTTGGGGCGGAGTATTACACTGCCACCTTAACGCCAGAACATGGTCAGCCAAACAGCTGCATGTCTGAGGGCCAGCAGTGTAGTATGCCCAACGTCCAGTGTGGACAGAACTACACAGTGATTGTCGTTGCCTCACATAAGGATTGTGACTCTGATCCCAGTGAGCCCGACACTCTGCAATCAGGTGAGATTTAATTATTACTTCTTTCTGTGTTTTATTTTTATTCCTAGTTTATTTTTATTTTGTGAACAGAATGAGTGCTAATAATTTAAAGATAACCACGTCTTGGGCTTTTTTCGTCTTTATGTACCCCATATTTGTTATTTGTGTGTTGCTTTTTCATTTTAAATTGTGCATAGACTCAACGAACACAATGCCATTTTAACCAATATTGTCATTTTATTAATATAACTGTATATTACATATTATTATAAGTGTAAGTCTTTTCATTGCTCAGTTCACTTGATACATGTGCTATATTCAAAATGAAGACTTTCTATTACTGATACTTGTTTAGATGTCACTGAATAATTAAATCTACTTCATTCTGCTATTGTCACACTTTTCGTCAGTGCCTTGTGTTCCTACTGATGTGAAAATCGAGGTTGACTGCTCCAGAAATGAGGCTGTTGTGTCCTGGAGTTCTAGCGACGGTGCTGTGTCTTACCAAGTGATGGCTGAGAGCAAAAAGGGATCCATTTCCTTCTGTGAAACTGGAGGCCTCATGTGTACTTTGACCAACCTGACCTGTGGACACAACTACTTAGTTCAGGTGGTTGCGCAGGATGGTATCTGCTCATCTTTGCCCAGCCCAGCTATAGACTTCTATTCAGGTAGAACAACAGGATTTACATCAATTCCTTTGGTTGTCAAAATGTTTACATCTGCACACGCTACTGATTTACTGCTCTTACCACATGCATGTAATAAAAGTGTTACAACAGTCCTTCCTCCCTCTCTCTCTCTCAGTTCCCTGCATTCCAGACATTGGTTCAGTGATTTTGGATTGCTACACAAACTCGGCTCTCTTGGACTGGGCCTACACTAAGGGCGCCATGTTCTACAACGGAACAGCCCGATCCTCTAGTGGCCACATTTCCATCTGCAGCTCCAACTACACCTACTGTGAGCTGCGGGACCTGCATTGTGGCGAGACATATACTGTGACCACTGTGGCCTCCAATGGACAGTGCAGCAGCCCCTCCAGCATGAGTTTGCAGGTGACATCAGGTAAAAGAAAGAAGAAAAAAAAAGCCCACTTTTTAGCAGCAAAAAGAAATTGCAATTTAAGAGGTAACAATTTGTTGTTTTTGTTTTCATCTTGCCACAGTAGTGGCATCAGTAAATACGAGACTTAACACCGCTGTTAAGGGGTCAAAGTACTTTGTCTGAACTGCTTGCTAGATGACTACATGGCTTCTAAAACCTCATTCCCCTCACGTCAGATGAGGAATGGTCTGCAATTTCTTCTATAAATTTCTGAAACCAACAGTGTAACATTGGTGTCCACCTCACACACTGTTTAGTCAGCGGTGTGGATGTGAAAAAGGAGCCAATGATTGAACTGTTCTCTTTCGATCTTTTTTTCATACATAACACCTTTCTTTAGCTTTCTAGCTGAACAGTGAAGCGCAACAGTACACAGGACAGAGTGACGGAAAATGTTTAAATATCCCCATATTTAAACAATATTGCTTCTACTTCCCTTTTTGTGACAGCCAGCTTTTCACTTTGCCTTTGAGTGTGGCTGTTCACATCAGATATACTCGTCTGGTCAGACAACAAATAGGAGTGGTTACCAGTGCAAAATAACAATAACAATATATACATGACAATGGATATTATCTAACTTTTTTTTATTTTATTTTTTTTTATTTGCATAAACAATACTGTCACAGTGTAGAAACTCTGACATATGACAGGCAATCATGCATGTTTTTTCATTTTTTTTCCTGTACCAAATGTTGCTTGATAAACTTATAATAAGGTTCTGAAGCCTTATATACTATAAGCCATAGTGAACATGAATGTCTTTCCTAACAAGGGACAAAATATTTGTTGAGACATCAACTGAAATTTCAGTTAATATGGATGCTTATGAAAGATTGTGATGGCTATCAAAGAAAAGTTGGTTAGAGATACATTAGACCTTCTGCCAGGACATTCATTCATTCAGTAATTAATTTCCACTTGGTGCCATGTAAAGTATCACTTTAGAGTCATGTAAAATCCCAGTTCATCACTGGGCCTCCTGTCATCTCCTCTGTACATCTGTAGCACCAACATCTGCTGCTTTCTCGTCCCTAAGTTTTTAAAGTCAGAAATATTCCCACCTGACTAAGTACACAACAAGCTACTAGCATTACTAAAAAAAAAAACCTCCTCTGGGATTTATTTCAAACTTTTCCTCTCTCTTCCATCCACCAGTGCCATGTCCTCCTGAGGGTGTTATGCCGGTACTGAACTGCTCTACCAACACAGCACAGGTAGAATGGCAGACCAGCAAGGGGGCTAGTTCCTACATTGTCCAAGCCTTCGGTGTGGAAGAACACAAAACTGGCTGCGAGTCAAAGACGGATTCCTGTATCCTCTCAGACCTCAAGTGTGGCTTCACCTACGACATCATTGTGATTGCTGCTAACAGCATGTGCAACGTGTCACAAAGTAAAGTGATACAGCTCAAAGCAGGTAAGGATAAGTGGCCTTATGGGGTGTGACAACATGATGGATAACTATGTTGCCAATAAAGCTCATTTTGAAACCGTTCTGGAAATACTTGTATGCTATGTCAGGATAGGAGTAACTATACATACTATACCCAGTGTTTGCAGTATTTATTCAAAAGAAAAATTTCATCTTTGTGATGTTTTATATGCTGTCTAACAAGTATTTCCACGATGCTGAATGATCTCCACATATGGATAATTATTGGATCTGTGCTGATCCTAAAATGTTATTCAATACTGATACTCTTGTGCCTGTGCTCCTTCAGTGCCCTGCATACCTCAGCATGTGGAGGCCCGGGTGGTTTGTGAATCTGGTGGAGTGGCAGTTTCTTGGGAACGGAGTAAAGGGGCTTCATCCTACACCTCATTCGCCCAGGGCATGGCCGGCTACGCTTCCACACACAACAGCAACGAAACAACTAGCCTGTTCAATGACTTGCTGTGCGGCCATAACTACTCGATCACTGTTAGTGCTTCAAATGGCATATGTAGCAGTGCAGAAAGCTCTGCTGTGGATATTGATACAGGTAGAATCAAGATTTTATTTATTGGTTTTATGTGGAACCTTTAATCGACATAAACTGACATGTTTGTCTATACTGGAGCTCTATTTTTTTCCTTCTTTTTTCATCCCTGTCCGTCTGCAGTGCCATGTGTACCACAGAACGTAACAGCAAAGATGATGTGCAGCAGCGACACAGGAATGGTGTCGTGGGAAGAAGGGGAGGGTGTGTCCTCCTACAAGGTGCACGCTTTTGGACCGGATGGTCACAAGGTTGAGTGTAACAACACTGGAAGCAGTTGTCAGCTCCCCAGCATGCACTGTGGCCAGCTCTACAATCTGAAAGTTACAGCTAAGGATGGACGCTGTGATAACAGCCAAGCCAATCTCACCCTGCAGTCAGGTACATATGGATGCTCATAGAACATTGATCCTTAGTGCTTTCACACAGAATTATGATGCTGATTTTGTTACTTTTGTTAATAATTATTTAGAGGGCTGACAGCTAGCATTACAGTACTGTCTCAAGAGAAGTGGAATAGTGCTGTCAGGGCTCCAGACAAGCTTTTCTACAGGTAGCACTGGTACAACTTTCTTTGTTGCTCACACCAGCAGATAATTTGGTCGCCCCACCCCACCCCCTCATGTTGGCACAGCATTGTCATAACTATTAATCCACCGTAAATGCTGATGAATAGTTTTTTCTGCATAACCTAGTTATGTTGCATTGATTTTCAGTGATACAAGACTTGATATTTGTAAAATAGTTGAATCTAAAAATAGATTAATAGATAAACTATTCCTTTTCTGCTGCAAGGTGCTCGGTGGTTAGCACCGTCGCCTCACAGCTAGTCCCGGTGAGGACACCTGGGATCTTTCTGCATGGAGTTTGCATGTTCTCCCCATGCAGCGTGGGTTCTCTCAGGGTTCTCCGGCTTCCTCCCACAGTCAAAAAACGTGTTTAGGTTAATTGGTGATTCTAAATTGTCGGTAGGTGTGAATGTGAGTGTGCTTGGTTGTCTGTCTCTTAAGTGTAGCCCTGTGATAGACTGGTGACCTGTCCAGGATGGATAGTCCTTTTCTGATCTCATCCATAAACTGGACACAGGTTAAACACTTGAACATCTGGTACATTTAACCTATGTTCCCTAGATGCCTCACATTTTATTTTATTTTAAGAGCGGAGTGCATTTTGCGTGTCGGCAGTCTTTCTCTCCACCGGCCTCCCTCTCCCTCCTCACAGTGTTGTAAAAAAAATATATATACAATCAGCTATAGATGGTTTCTACATTGGAACAATGAAATTTTATATGTCAGGCAAGGAGACATTACGTCAATGAGGAAAAAATAGTACTACTTTCAGCAACAATAGCTACCTGTGCTGACGGCAGGGGCACCAGATCAGCCTAATGATAATCATACACTCACACAAATGCAGCATAGCATATGCAACCTTTTTGATTGCAGTCTGGAGCCCTGGATATGTTTCTAGTGGCATGGTGAAAGTGCCATTAATAGCTGTCTGATAACTTCATCACTTGGTTGTTGTTGATGCAAGTAAAATAAAGTGTAACCATTATCATTAATAAATTTATTTACTGTTATTTACAGCAAAACAGAAGAGGACCAGCTAAAAATATCACATTTATGTGTCATAGTTCCCTGGTTTGCTATTACATCACTTTCGTTATAGTGTGGAAAAGCTGGTCGTCTAGTGTTGGAGCTTGATTGCATTTTTATTAAACCTCAGTCTGATATTGAATTTATTCAGTAGTTTCAAACCCCTTTGATTATATTTATCTTTAACAAATGTAATAGAGTGCTTGAATGTTTTTGCCCAGTATAAAACACTGCCATTAAAATTTTAAAAACTCCAGATAAAAATGAATAGTCTTCTCACATGTATAAAAGTTTCTTCTAATTCGCAAAACAATAGGACTCATACAGTATCACATGGTTACAGTGTTTTTGAGAAGTTCGCTAGGGTGAGCCTGTTTTGGAGAATAATATGTCGCTGACATATGAATTGTTTTAACTTTGTCATACATGCACATTAATAAACTAAAGTACACACATCTAATTTTTTGTCTTTTCTTTTTCCCTCTCCCAGTACCTTGTAAGCCAACCAATGTCAAAGCTTCCCTACACTGCCACTCAAACTCTGCTGCAGTCACATGGGAGCGAGGCATCGGAGCACATTCCTACGTTGCAGTGGCTGTTACAACAGATGGAAGTCACCAGACCAAGTGTAACCACACTATGACGTACTGTGATCTAACTGACCTGCAGTGTGGACAGACCTACAACATAAAGGTGTATGCCAAGGATGAGTCCTGCTCTAGTATGGCCAGTGACGAGGCTTACGTGCAGACAGGTATTGTAAACACTGTGAGGGGCATATATCAACTCACTCTAAAGACTTTCTACAATAAACATGGCAATGACAGTGTGAATTAACCACACGGTGATGCAGGTCAAGTTACTGGTTGAGAAGTACTAAATTTACTCACTGCTAATATTCACTCTACCCCCCTCCTTCTCTTTTGTCTGTCAGCTCCCTGTGCACCTCAGAATGTGACTGTTGATGCACAATGCACTAAAGACGCCATGGTTGTGTCTTGGTCTCCCAACCCCGATGCCAAGTATTTCCATGTGGCAGCGGTGAGCAACACCATGGCGAGACTCTACTGTAACTCCAGCGGCACCACCTGCACTATGAAGAATCTACCGTGTGGACAGAGCTACAACATTACTGTGATTTCTGTTAGAGACGATTGTGAGAGCAAACCAAGCCCAGTGGTGAAGACTTCTTCAGGTAAGCTCCAAGCAGTCACCCATTTTCTCAAATTCCACATCAACACATGTTGATGTTTGGAAAACGTGGTGCACTTTATTCACGTGTTTGTAGTTATGAAGACATTAGTGGAATTATTTTTTTTTGTTGTTTTTCTTCAAGTTTAGGTAAAAACAGCACTCACAAGCTCATGTATCCTCAGTTCAAGACAGTGTTGGTTATATTTCAACAAATGTTTTTAAAGGATATTATATAGTAAAGACAAGGTGCAATATTATAGAGAGAAACCCAACAGTTACCTCATGAGCAAGCATTAAATAGGAAGTTACCTCTCTTCCTAATTTACAGCATTTGTAGTTCAGAAATCCATGTTTTTATGTAACGTACTACAATTTGTTTTTTAAATTGGGAAAAGCAACACAGCATTGGGTTAAATCACTGCAAATGCTGCAAAGAGACATGTAGAAGATAGATTATGTCACAGATTTTTACCTACAGTATAGAAACGTATAAACATCTTTATGCATGGACACCAATACTTGCAACAAATACAATATGTGTATTATCTGCAGGCAGTAAATGACAGTTACAGTTTTTCTTTTTTTTAGCTACTGTTTACGTATTAGATGTTTTTCCTTTTTTAATTTAACACTTGCACAGTAAAAAAACACAAAAAATGCCACTTGCCTCCAGAAGACTTATCAGTATAAAGTCTTGACATCTGCAATCTAAATTTCTGCTGCTGTTAATGTCACTGCCGACATGTTAAAACTTAAGTCCCGCAAAATGCAAATTTCCTTGTTTGTGATCCAAGCTTATCCTGCTTTCTATAGTCAGGTTGATTGACGTCTACATTAGTGAAATGGCAAATGAAGTACACAACACTTGGATTCAGTTAGGAAGAAAGTTAACGTGCACAAATTCTTCTTTTCCTCTTCAAATTTCCCACTCAAACCTCTCTGATGTAATAATGACTAAAATATAGATTTTCTCTCAAGCTGCATGCTTATTATTGTGCATTTTACCCTCAACAGTTCCATGTGTGCCCATGAATCCCAAGGGTGATCTGGACTGTGTATCTAACAATGCATGGGTGGAATGGGACGATTCAAAAGGAGCAACCAGCTACTTTGTGCTAGCTCAATCAGCCGGTGGTCACAGCTCCAACTGCACTGCCCCCTCCTCCCACTGTAAAGTGCCAGATCTGGAATGTGGGACAGTTTACACCTGCCATGTCACGGCTATGAACAAGTACTGCAGCAGTAATCACAGCGCCACCTTTGAGATTGAGACAGGTATGTAACAAGAATCTTTACTCGCAAGATACCAGCTACGTGAAGTGTCTGGTGTTTTGGTTGCTAAGAACATTTTCTAGTATTTTATCATGTCAGTGCATTAAAACACAATTAAGACTAAAGTAAAGCAATTAATCCAACACTGTTACATTGAAATGTTTGGGTTAAATCTGTTAACCCATAAGATGTTGTGACCCCTGACAGTGTTTAGTTTCCCTCGTTACAGCAAACATTTTTCATCAAACAGTGACTTACCCATCTTGATTATGAATAACTGTTAGTTATTATTATTTCACAACCAACAAGGATTAAAGAAACACACAACCCCATAATCAATTACAACTTCTGTAATAAAACAAATTAATTTACTTGTAACCCCTCAATTTCCTCCTGTGACCCTCTGGACCGTTTGTCACCCCTCAGCTGGTAAGAGCTGGTTGATGTTTTAGCTTAACAGCTGATTATCTGTGTTAATACGATTTATTACAGGAAAAATTATGAGCAACAGTGGTATTATAGTATAGCATCTTCTGTCTGGAAATTATAAAAAATAAAAAACTGCTGCTAGAAAGCACCTTTGAAACTTTTATGAGGACAGATTTGTGAAAGATTAGTAGCAGAATATTTTAATCATGTTATTTTGCTAATAATTTCTGAAGCAGTTTTTAACATTTTCTTCTGTATACACCCTGTGCACTAGGACCTTGCGCTTTAACATCCATCAATGCAACAACTGAGTGCCACAATGACACCATCCTGGTTGAATGGGAGGAAACAGTTGGCATTCCCATTTACCTGGTGACCGCTGAGGCCGACGACCTAACCACCATTTCCTGTAAAAGCAATTCGAGTTCATGTTTACTCAAGGGCGCACTCTGTGGCACGCACTACAGCGTCATAGTATCAACTTCTTCTGATAAGTGCAGCACCCTCAGAAGCCCTCCAAGGAAGATTAAAACAGGTATGCTTCAGTTGACCAGTATTGTCTTATTTACTTAATCACTCACTAAAAGGAAACACCACAGTGGATTCTAAGTACTGTTGAGATATTTAAAGTTATTGTCTTTTTTAGTGCCCTGTGTCCCAGGAAATGTGACAGTGGTGCCATCATGCAAGGAGAATGGGGCGACTGTGACATGGGCACACTCACCTGTGGCCGTATCTTACAACCTGACAGCAACAGGAAGCGATGGACACGTCGTGAATTGCAGCAGTAAAGTGAACAACTGCTCCTTGGCCGATCTTCACTGTGGCCAAATGTACAAATTAATCATCACGGCCAAGGGACACGACTGCACCAGCTATCCCAGCATTTCTTCCTTCAAAACAAGTAAGACAGTGGTGCTCAGTTATTTTTTTAGTGTTTTGAATTTTTTTTTATATATTGAGAGAAATACCAAGAGGCTTAAGGTTAGCTTCAACTCACTGGCCACGTTTACACATAGGCGGGTACTACGGATCTACGTTTTTAAAAATATCATTGTTCACACCACATCGTTTTCAAAAAAAATCTTCATTTACACAAACCCGCATAAACACGTCATAAAGAGCTGCTATGAGCATGCCAAACCTATAGGGGGCAGTGTAACGAGAAGCATAAAGCCATGCTAGCCAATCAGAATCCTAGCCAATCAACTAATGGCACAAATTGCTTCCTGTTGCTTCAACGATAATGGCACGAAGGTCGTTTGTTTTGTTTGGACCGACAGAGAAGTGTTTGCATGAACGTAAAAGCAAGCACTGCTTTAACAGCGTCCATTTCCATCACAGTAGCCAAACTGTAAACATGGGTCGCACACATATGACACTGATGACACTTTTGTTGTGTACTGTGACGTCAAACTCTGTTTCCTCCCGTCTACATGCACACATAAAGACAGAGTTTTACTGTAGGTCTGGTACAATATACAGTTACAACGTGTGATGTTATATGGTAATCATTGGAATTAACACAAAGCAGTCACTCTTGTGATTAGATTTTATTAATGAACAGCTACTCTCTCTCTTAGTTCTCTTTCAGTTTCTTTTGAGCAAACATGCTTTAAGTTTACCTCATACTTAAATTTAGGAACTGCAGACTTTCTACATGCTTAACTCCCTGACAGAAGTCCTTCTCTCTCTCTTTCCTCTCAGTGCCCTGTGCACCCTCTGGTGTCGCAGTGGATCTCGATTGTGAAACACACTCCGCCATGCTGTCTTGGTACGCCACTGAGGACGCCGTGGAATATTTTAGCTGTGCCCAGCCTATGAAGGGAGACGCCCTGTACTGTAACAACAATACTACTTACTGCATCTTTGAGGGCCTGGAGTGCGGTGAAATTTACAATTTCTCCGTTCAAGCATCTAATGGCATCTGCAACAGCTCATTTAGTCCACCTCTGCAGGCCGGAGCAGGTAATGACACAGTGAATCATACCCATATGCAACTGCCGAATAACAATACTCATATTACCTGACTGTGTGCCAATGAATTATAAAGGATTTTGTGGAGAAAAAAAAAAAAACTGTTTCTGTTATTTCTAGTCCTACATAATGGAAATTTCCCATTAGTAAAATACTATCTCCTGTCTCTTCAGCTCCATGCCCTCCAACCTATCTGAATGTCCGGATGCAGAGGATAGACCAATCATATTGGGCCATGATATCATGGGACAGAGTCAATTGTTCTGATGTCGAATACTCGGTGGAAGTAATCGGACGACTCAATAACAACTCACAAACCTTGATGAATATCTCTTCCTACTGGCTACCCAGACCGTACTTTGAGCTTCCGGTGCCATGTAGCACAGCTTATAACGTGACTGTACGTGCCAAAAACTCAGCTGGGGTCAGCGAGCCGTCCACTGCCTTCAGTGGAGTCACAGGTACTCATTCCTGACGTTATTCACAATCGTTGTTGCATTTCGTAATAAGTAAGTGATCTTTTTATACTTAAAATCTGAATAACAAAACACAGTTATATTGATATGCAGTGTCTTAATAGGAGAAGTTGTGATTGTAGACGAATAGCATGCACTTATTTAACACTTTAAAATGTCCTGTATTTAGTATGTAATGAAGACATAAAATATCTAGACAGTGCTTACAAATGCTTAATATAACATGCTACCAAAAAATCAGCTGAACAGCTTATTGATTAATTGTTTTACATATAGCCTCCCCCAGTCCCTCTGTTAATAGTGTTTTCATTGCTCCTTTCCCAGTCCCCTGCCCTCCACAGTACGTAAGATACACCGGTAGCAGACCACTTGCCATGCTGTCCTGGAATGCGTCGGTGTTTGCTACATGGTACACCGTCTACAATGTATCAGGAGGAAGCCGCATGGTGCTTTGCAACACCACCGAGCTCTCCTGCCAGCTGACCAACTTCGATCCCAATGCCACTGAAGTGACAGCTAGCAATGACGTAGGGGAGGGCAACCCCAGCCGAAATATAACAGGTCAGGCACAGGGCAACGATCTGTCGTCAGGAGCCTCAAATGTGTATTTAAGTACAGTTGTTAATTAAATGTTACTACAGATCCAGTCTAGTTTTAGAACATTTCTAATGTGTGGTTCTCTCATCTTTTTCAGGTCCCGGGGTATCTCGCAGAAGAAGAGATCTGCGGACCACTCAAGTCTTTACCCGATTAGAAGAAAGTAAGTGTAGATTTCTTAGAGTGTTACACAACTTTGGAGATGGTTTTGTGCACCTCATCAACCATCTGTTTGTCTCTCATCTCCGTCTGTCTCTGTTAGAGCTTGAAATGCCAGAAGGGCTGACGGTTACAGCAAAAGGAGTTACCTTGTATGTGAATTGGAAGGCGATGCAGGGCGTAACCGAGTACACACTCGTCATTCATGAGAAGCCGAGAGAGCAGTGGACCGACGTGACGCCCATAGTGAGAAGTGTGGAAGGTACCTTTCATAAAGAGACTGGCCTCAAACCCTGGACTAGATACTGTGTTAAGGTGGCAGCCAAAAATGGCATGAACCACAGCAACTACCCTCACAAGTGCACAAACACTAGCAGCTCTTAATGAAATTATACGCATTCACTGACACTGGACTAAACAGGATTGCCATTATAGTGGTTCTTTATTTGTCTTCTCCACTCAGTAGCTTCCAGAACAGAATTGTTACTGGTTTGATCTTTAAGGACTTTAGGAGAATAATTGCAAAAAAAAGAGTAATCACAACTACAAAGCAATAACAAAATTCTTCTGATTCGGGGTACAACTTACATGTCACACACAAATACTGATCAAACCTCTCAAGAAGCTTTAGATTGAAATGCTTATGAATCTTTGTTAACAATAGTTTGTATACCTTTTCATAATTGTGGCTGATATCATAGCAGCATGTGACATTATAGCTGTGTAATAAAGTATTGCTGAGAATATATTTATCTAAAATGGTTATATTTTTTGCGGTTGGTTATTAGATTCTCTGGATGATTGTTAAGCCCAAAAAATGTAGTGTAAACTAATAAACTGATAATTTATCAAGCAATATTGTTAAAACCATGCAGTATATTTTCTTTATGATGTTCTATATGACGTTTCATTTTGTGAACACTTTGACAGATCTTTTTTTAACTATTCCGGAAAAAGGAATTTAAAAAATGATCTGTGAAACATTAAAACACACCTCTGTATAAACTGCAGTGTTGAAAAATGTCCTTTTTAAAAATCTCTGTGTGTATCTAATACATCCATGTGGTCATGGATTGGTTCTTGAGTTTGCAGGGCTTCCTTTTAATAAGGTAAACAGTATCATAGTGTATGAACCTTTTATTTTCTGGTTTTAAGACATTCAGCAATGTGTAGACAGGTGTGAGGTTCAGTACTGTTAAAAGTCAGTCAGAATTTAACAAATCACACAAAAGTTCTTTTAATTTCTATAGATGTGAACTTGATATCATGCAGTTTAATTTTCTGTCAGATGTTTAAACAGACTGTACCATGCAAACATTACTGCTTTCCCTTTTCTCACAGCAACATCGTCTTTCAGTCTACAGCAGCCCATTTAAAAACAAAAAAAAGCTGCTTGTAGAGCGCAGTGCAGAGTATTTGCACACTTTTTGTAAATTACATTTATTGCTGTTCAAGACTTTAACATGAGACGTTTACTGCTCTTTCTTGAGCAGAACGAATGCACAATAAGGTGTTTTAAATAAACATCAATATTATTTTTTCAAGTAGTAACAATTAACACATAAAACCTTACATAACTGATTTGGACAAGGCAACAGAAGTATGTTAAACGAAGGGTCCCTGCATCATGTCAAACATTCAGATCTTTTATAATTATAAAAAGAGTTTTTCATCTACAAATTTACAATCTTTAGGAAGACCACAGGCATCTATAATAACTGTGGATGCTGCTGTAAAAAGTGGCACCGTTCTGTATTTGTTCTGACTTTAAATTTTACAACGAATTTCAGAACTGGCTGAGATAGTAAAATGCCAGATTATATGGAATCAAGCACAAAGGATCAGAGCACTTCCAAATTATATTTCAAACAAAATTTAATTTCAAGCACAAAAAGAAAAAAGTGTTCTTGATTCATGACTTCGTTAATGTCACTAAAACTGAAGTATACTAATGCTAAACACACTGAAAGGACACGTGTGAGGAATTACATTGTCAGCTTGTTTCAAAAGTGTGGAAGCTTAAATTCGGAATGCGTTTCTCTCTACTGTCCTACCAAAGGAAGTGCAGTTCACTTTTTACCTTTTTCGTTAAAATGCATTGTGAGCTGATAGTGAAAGCAAGCAGTTTACTTCACCTTCAATTAGACTGGGTTCACTATTATCCCATAAATAAGACAGGTAATAAACAACGTGTTGCTTAAGTCTGTACTATTTTGGTGTTACGGGAACCGGGCTGCAGTATCTGAAGACTGACAATGAGTGTAACAGCTCTTCTGAACCACGGGTAGAAAAAGGCATAGATGAGAGGATTGAAAGTGGAGTTAATATAAAACAGCCATATTTGAGCTGATGAATTAGCACCTACGTTGCCCTGCACTGCCAGCGAAACACAGTAGTATGGAAAGAGACACAATATAAACACAAGAAGGACAACACCAAGAGATCTTGCAGCCCTCAGCTCAGATTTCTTAATGGCTACTGCTTTAAATTTGACACATGCAATTTTAGACTGCATTGCGCGTGCGTGTGACACGGCCACTGCAAACACTCTCATATAGAGAACCATGATGACAGCGACAGGGCCGAAAAAGGTGAGCATCAAGTCTACTGCACCTGAAATGAAATGAATGTTAAGTATACATTCTTGGTGGCAGGAATTAGACACACGTGTTTGTGCGAAGTGGTCTTTCAGTATGACAAAGCTGTACCAAACTGAGCAGACCCAACACAGAGACAGAGCGGTTATAACTCTGCTTGTTGTTATCATGGAGGAGTAGAGCAGAGGATTACATATAGCCACGTAGCGGTCCACTGATATGAGAACCATGCTCCCGACGGAGGCAGAGGTGAGGATGAAGCTGAGCAGGTAGAAGTAAGCACATGTGGTTTTACCCAGAAACCAGCAGGATTGCAGGGCGACGATCGCGGTCGGCATCACTGCGACGCCCACGAGCAAGTCAGACACAGCCAGGGAGAGGATGAGGAAGTTTGTGGGTGTGTGGAGCTGCCTTGAGGGCGAGATTATGATTAATGATGTTTTCTTCATGTCCCTAATATTCAGTGCAAATGCTTTAAGATTAGACACATGTAAATGTAAAAATATTTGTAAAATAAATCTACATATCAGCTGTAAACAATTCAAACTGGTAATTGTGACACATTTATAGAGAAACACCTGAGAAGAGCTTAGCTTTTAAAAAAACACAATCAAAACATATGGTGACAGCAAATGAAACCCCTACACACAAGATGTTAAGAAAAGTGTCCGTGCCTGAAGTGGGAGATGGAGATGACAACCAGCAAGTTGAATATCACAGTGAGCAGAGCGATGCAGCACAGCAGTGATTTGATAAGTATGACTTTGGGAGTACCAGGCATCCATTGACAGGAGGTGTTGAGAGGGGAGATGCAGAGAACAGCTCGCTCCAATGTCTCCACCATCATTCAAACGGTGGACTGCAGGTCTGAGCAGAGCGTTGCTGAGCTCTGGCAGCCCTCTGATCTGTGTTGTCATGAGATATTTGTCTCTTACCCTCTGCACTTCCATCCCTTCCCCTGTTGCGCTCCCTCTCCCTCCCTCCTCCCATTGCATCATTCACCTCTCTGCCTTATTTTGATTTCCTACCGGTCCCCTCTTTTTTCCTCATTATCCTTGTGAGTCTTCATTTTCTGGTTGTTGCTTGTATCCCAAAAAGCAAAAACAAAACATGAAAAAAGGTCAACAATAAAACATTAGAAATGACAGTACGTGACATTACAAAATGTTATAAAAATGCCAATCTGTACGTGTGGGTTTTTACAGGTTGAGGCATTGAGTGAGCTGTCCTGACAGTAAGGGGAGGTTTGTTCCACAGCATTGGAGCTGAAACACCAAAAACATGGCCCCCCTTTGTTTTAAGCCTGGACAGTGAATTTTTAAAATTTGTTTTTTTACCAGTCACTGACTGGTATAGAAAAAAGGTGTTAATAGTTCATGTCATGTAGATCCTGCAGAAGATTTAGAGTACACAACAGAATCTTAAATGTTGTTCTACAATGAATGGCTGACCTGTGTATTTCAGCCAGGACCAGTTTGTTGGGTCTTGCTGCTGTGTTTTGAATCAGCTGTAAACTGGCAATTGCTGCATGATTTAAGTGAGTAAATGAGTTACAGAACTCTGGGGGAAGAAAATAAGGGTGTAGCTGCTCTTTCAGTTATGTATTTGGGGCGCATGAGTTGAAATTTAGCAATGTATCTCATCTGTAAATTGCAGGATTGAGCCAGCTGATAGCTCCATGCTGGATGTTCGAGGTCTAAGGTGAGAAGAGTTACTGTTAGAAATATGATCAGCACCAATAACCAGGACCTCATTCTTATCTGTGAATTAGAAGCCATCCAGCCCTAATGGCAAAAAGGCAGTAATGCAGAAAATCCAGACTATAAATAAAAACTGAACAAAACAGGGCCACAGACTGAGCCCTGTGGAACTCCACATGACAATAAAACAGGAAAAGGGAGAGTCATTATGAAAACCAGGCCTCCCATGTACTGTACGCTCCACAAGTCTTTTCTCTTGTTTCAGAACTTTCAAAGCATGCATCTCTTACTATTTGACTTAACAATGGCTGCACACCCCACATCATTCACTCGCCCAGAAGGCAGTCGGTACAGTGAGGACGTGTGGTTTCATGTCAGTGTGGGTTCCTGGTCATCTACCCCACTATCCCCACCCAACCATGCTATATAAATAAAATCCAATTGAACAGAATTGACATGAGGCAGCTGAACAAATGAAGGTGTAGAGTGAGGAAAACGTCTCTGTTTAATAAGTACGATGAAGACCAGTTCAGAACAGTTTCACTGAGGCCCACCTAGTTCCTGAGTCGTCTGAAGAGAATGGTAAGAGTTTCAGCAACATTAAGTGAAGTACTTTACAACGCTCATGAGTTACTGTGACATTTAGAAATATCATACAGCCTATGGTATTTTCTTTCCCAAAATAGAAATCGTGGCCTTTCAAATGCACATAAATCAGTGTGAATTTCTGACTTGTTTGTAGATATATTGTTATAAAACAACATTTTGTTATAACAAGAGAATGTCTCCTTGTGACAAAGGGACCTGATTATTTTGATGGAAGCATCACTTTAGAGTCACTGCACATGAACGTAAAATTATTCTACGTGATCACCTTTATCCTGTGATGACACATTTCTATCAGGATGGAATTGGTGTCTTCCAGGATGACGATGCCTCCATCCATGGGGCTCCAGGGGTCACTGAATGGTTTGATGAGATTGATGTTGCTCAAATCTTATGGCCTTCACAGTCAACAGATTTCAAACCAATGGACCACATATGAGAGATTTTGGACTGATGTGTTAGACAGCTCTCTCTGACACCATCATCATCCAAACATCAAATGAGGGAACATCTTCTGGAAGGACGGTCTTTGATGTCTCCAGTAGAGTTTCCAAGACTTGGAGAATCAATGCCAAGGAGAACTGAAGTTATTCTGGCGGCACAACACTTTGTTAATTAATTTGTCATTAATTTGTATTTTCAATATCTTCTGTGTCATGTCCTGTTTGGAGTCACTGCTTTCATAAGATGCTTGTGTATCCTGTATTGTTATAAATGAAACTGAACCCTACATTGCTGCAGCAAAATGTGGCTGCACAAGGTGATTTGATGTTCTAGAGTTTAAAAAAAAAAAAAATTAATTCACACACTAAAAAAAGTATTGAGTCAAATTTAACCTCACCTTGGCACCCAGTACCGAACAAACAACTTTCCCCATCCACTGGATCATACCCTGAAACATCCTTTGATGCAGCATTTTTAAGGTGCAGCTAAATCAGTTTTTAAGTTTTCATGTTATATTAAGTGCATTAGGAGTCACAGACTTGTGTCCTCATATCTGGACCATGTTGACAGTGTTTTGTTTTCCACATGCTTTGTTTTGATCCCTGATTTTGGTGTTAAAACCAAAGTGTCTGGTGGGTAAAACAGCCTGTACTGCTTTGGGAATATGACCCTCCGTGTTTCCAAACTGATATTGCATCATGTGTTGATGACATGTACCTTGTGTAAATGTTTTTCTAACACCTTTGATTGGAGCAACACCTCTGTGGTCTGAGACATTATCTGTCAGCAAAGTGTGAACTAGCTGTGATGCAACATGACCCATGGTTTGTAGTATAATGACAAGTTGTTTTTTTAGTTTAGTAAATATAAAATTTGTCTGTTTATGCAGTGAGTGTATGTGGTGCAGCATGATTTTCTCACCACAATAACTAAATAAACTATTGTTACAAACAACATTCAAAGAGTGGTTTATAAGAGCTAAAAAAAAAAGAAAAAGAAACATCTTTTGAAGTGAAAATGCCACTTTTTTAGTTGTCAAAGGTGGCTGGTTGTTCTATTGGATAAAACACCTGATTTCAAATGTTGGGAAGGCAAAAAGAGGAGCTTTCATGACATTAGCTTGGAGTTTAAGACATGTTTGGTGTGTTATAAGACAGACAATTCATCATTGAGGTTAGGAAACAATAAATGCTGATCAACTGGTGGAAGTAAAGAAAAAATCATAGGAATTATAAAGTCAAATGGATTCTGATAGATAGATCCCTCACACACCCATGGCAATCCTCTGGATTTATAAATTCTTGAAAGTGTTCAGTCGTGCCCATATTGTTGGACCAGTCGACAGACAGACTGAAATCAATGCTTTAGTGTAGGGTTAGGGTTTGATATTACAGGGAAAACGCATTGTGTTTTCTTGCACCGGTCAATTTTGAGATTTTGAATTACTTTCAAAAATAGATATTTAGGTGTTTTTTTCACTGCATTTTGTCTATTAAAAATATATGCAGATTAAATATGCCAATCTGTATAAATATGACTAGCAGACACATGGCAGATTAGACAAGACAAAAATAGAAGCCATCATTCTTGTCATCAGTATGTAAACAGGATGTTATATTACATGAACACCAAGTTAGAAACACCTTTGACTTCAGTCTAAAAGCTTATATATATAAATAATATCTATAAATCTATAATAAATCATCTTGTAGGTTCTTAACCTTAACATTTAACTTATTTAGGTACATTTGTGTAATATATATTATTGTAGGTTCTTAAATTTAATTTTGAATTTATTGGATACATTTGTATAAATAAATAATATTGTACAGTTAAGGTAAAATTTGTTTACAACATTTTTTTCTGAAAAAGTTGTCAATGTGGATTATTTTAAATATCTATATAAATACCTGTTACTTGACTAATAAATGTACTAGGTTAGTTTTTGGAGTCTTTCAAGATTTGTTAGTTTTAAGGGCAAGCCTCTGCCATGCTGACTTTGCATACATTAGAAATGAGGTATTCACAAATCAAGACTCTCTATGTGCTGTCGTATTATGACATAAAACAGCAGTGAAAACTGAAAGCAGGCCATTGCTAGAGAGCAGGGTTATCCTTGTCAAGTCTAAGTGTTTCTGTATGTAGGATCAGTGAAGCAGGACCACCCTCTGACAGTGTGTGTGTTCAACAGTCACCTGACACTTTTCCTGTAACTGACACTGCTGCGCTTAGTTTCAGTCTGTGGTGGACGTTAGGAGGTGGTGACACACTTATCATCACACAACACCAGTGCTGATCTGTTTGTGTATTTCCCTTTAAATGTTTCCTGCCTTAAATGATTGAAGTGTCTTCAAAAAATACACAAACAGAAGTCCAAATGAATTAGTAAGCCTAAGTAACAAAAGAAAGTATGCAATCGCCCACATGCTCACAACTCACTGATGCAGTTAATATACAGTATTATTGTTATTTATATTTTAGTGTCTACATGTTCAGGTCAGCTGCAAGGTGGCGCAGTTGGTAGCACTGTTGCCTCGCAGCAAGAAGGTTGCCGGTTCGCGTCCCAGTGGGGGCACCGGAATCTTTCTGCGTGGAGTTTGCATGTTCTCCCCGTGCAGCGTGGGTCCTCCTGCTTCCTCCCACACAGTCCAAAAACATGTTGAGGTTAATTGGTGATTCTAAATTGTCCGTAGTCTGTCTCTAAGTGTGGCCCTGCGATGGACTGGCGACCTGTCCAGGGTGTCCCCTGCCTTCGCCCTAAGTCGGCTGGGATAGGCTCCAGCTCCCCCGCGACCCTAATGAGGATTAAGCGGTGTATAGAAAATGGATGGATGTTCAGGTCAGAAAGCAAGATGTGTGTGGGTTGTCACATAGCAGAGAGAAAAACACAATAACCAAAAAAATCTAACAGTTTTTGATCATTTAAACCTGATTTACATACATACATACAGTGCTTAACAAATATATCAGACCACCACCCAGTGTCAGGTTTATGCCACAGCTGCCCCAAATTAACAGCATTGGTAATTACAAAAATCCTTTTTTTATGTTTCTGTAATGATTAATACACCAGAATGTAGAAGCTCTTTAACCAAAATGATATTTTTAATGCTAAAATATATTTTTTATTGTTATCTATGAGTTTTCAAATGTACTGTTTTAATAAAACACAAATATTGTGATTATTAATATTTTTATTTTGCTAAATTAATTTTGGATTTCTAATAAAGGACATTCAAGAAACTAAATAAATATATTTTACTATATGTATATGCTCAATATGTGTTTCACTGTTGTTTTAATCTCAAAAATCTTGAAAGCGGTAAGAAAAGTTCGTAGACTTCCTAAAAATAAACGCATCATCATTTTGCAGTTCCTTCGTCGTCCTCAACCCTCAGCTCTTCCACTCTGAATAAGAACAGCGCCCTCTGGTGTCCGGCGGAGTTACGGCCCTGAACGTTGGTCCAACATGGCTGCCATGTTCAGTCCGGCGCTTCACAGGCAGAGACATCAGTTTGTCATCGATTTTGTCAAGCAGCACAAACCCAAAAAGGTGGTTAACGTCTTAATGAGAAACAAGTTTACTTTAATGAGTTTAGCTTCGACACTAAACTATGTTTGAGCAGCATTTACTAACGAAAGTACCAAAGCTAATTACTGTTTGAAACTTTTTCAGGTTATTTAGCTAGCTAACGTTCGCTAGCTACGTTAGCTAATTGAAGTCGCTTGTGTTGGCTGTTGATAATGGTTTGTGTTCACGGATAACTTCAGTTCGTCTCTCTCGTCCTCTCCCCAGGTGGTGGACCTGGGCTGCAGTGAGTGCAGCCTCCTCAAAAAACTCCGGTTTCACCGTGAAATTGAACTGCTGGTTGGTTTGGACGTCAACGGTGCCAAAGTCAAAAAACATATGTATGTGTTACAGTGAAACGTGTGACTGAATACTTTATCACATGATTAAAATGAGTTAGTTTTCACGTGCTGACTATTTTTATATCGCAGTGTAGAGTTTCTAAATAGAACTTACAATTAACAGAGTCCTAAAATGTTTGCTGTTACTCACTAATTAGTTTAGTGGCCGTTTGCATAGTCAAACTGGTGTGTAGCACAATGAATAATATGCATTTCACCTTGTGTTCTCTTAAGACAGCTTGAGTTAACCTGTTCGGTGACCCCTCTTTAAAAATATGCTGTGTGCATCCTGTTGCCCTTTTTCTCTTCTACTCTCTAAATACACCAATCTGTCACAACATTAAAAGCACCTCCTTAATATAGAGTAGATCCCAAACGGTCATGGACACAGCTGAACACCTGAATGTTGGCAGTCGATCCTTTGGGCCCTGTAAGTTGCAGGGTGGGCCCTCCATGGATCAGCGTTGTTCCTTCACATCCTGTGGATTGTCTCTCGAGGCCGTTTCAACATCTTGGTGTTTTTGTCAAGTTCCTCCAGCATTTCATGCGCAGTTTTTACAGTGTGGCAGGACTAATTGTTGTGTGGGGCAATCTGTTGGCATTGTGTGCTAGGTCTGGAGCAATATTTATGGGAGTTATACGTGTCAAAATAACAACCACATAAATGACAGGATTCAAGGTTTCTGACGAAGGTTGCATTGTAGAAAGATCAATTAGGATCATTTACTTCTTTAATGATCGTGACAAGTTGGTGTATGTCCCCGTGGAGTCCCATTGCGTCCTCCAACCATCTTCCTGTGCTTAAACAGTTTTGTATGTTGATGGTGATTGAGCACAATTCTACATAAGGACAATGTCAATGAAACTATTAAATGTCTTGAGCTAGATTTTAACACAGGACCCCTGCACATCACAAGGCCAGATAATTGACGTGTAACACTTGGCCTACTGTGGCTGATATTGTGCCCAGTTGGTATTCCAGCCATGCGTACACATACATTAAAAGTGCAATCATTTATTTAGTTAGTTTTTTGTTAGTTTGCTTGAAATCATTTCTGTATAATTAGAATTTAGGAAAACAATAACGCAATATGATCATACCACTACATTAGAAATACTAACTGAAGGTTGTTCTGGACTAACGCAGCATATGTGAAACCTCTTCAAACATTAGCTTGATGTGAACAGTTGCTTTCTTTTTAGATTTAAAAAAAAAAGTGTTAGTGGTTTCTGTTGTGGGGACCAACACTTTATACTTGATGCTGAGTAAAGTCTTCTCTCTTGTTTGACTTCAGTAGTATTTTCCATCTAGTTGGTAGATCTCAAATCATCAATGGATGATGAAAGCATCATTTGAGTTTTGACTCCTCAGTCACCATAATGTGTTGTTTTTGTTAAGGGAGTACAATAATTTGTAGATTCTCCTTGTATGTTTCTTCAGGTATGGATTAGCTCCTATATCTACTGACTACCTGCAGCCCACTTATGATCAGCTGTGCATTGAGCTCTACCAGGGGTCGGTCACACAGGAAGATGCCCGCCTCAGAGGATTTGATCTGGTGACTGCTATAGAGCTGTAAGTGGCGTTTTGTTAATTCAGGTCCAATGTCTTGAAGTCCTTATACTTTGTCGGTTACCAATATTCAAATGTGTTTCTGTATTGTTCTTTCTTATATTTCTCTCTATAAATGACACTATAATGTTTCTCTCTGTCCCTATGTGTCATTATTATCACAATGTGTTTTCTCTCTGACTGTGTACAGCATAGAGCACCTTACTCTTGCTGATGTGGGGCTCTTCTCTGCAGTGCTGTTTGGTTACATGACCCCAGTGGCAGTTATTGTCAGCACCCCAAACTCTGAGTTCAATCCCCTCCTGCCTGGACTAAGAGGTTTCAGACACAGTGACCACAAGTTTGAGTGGACCAGAGCAGAGTTCAGATCGTGGTACGGTATGATGTTTTAATAAATATTCATTTGGCTAGCAACAAGGAATGTTAGTGAATAAATCCACCCTAAAACAACACACAAAATGTTCCCACATGGATATTTTGGTAAAAATGACATCCCTCCTCAGGGCTCTGAAGGTGTGTTTGGATTATGGTTACGAGGTGGCGTTCACTGGTGTTGGACAAGCACCACAGGGTCAGCAGGAGAGTGTTGGCTTCTGCTCGCAGATTGGTGTGTTTCACCGGATTGGAGGGAGAAATGGATGCAACATGTTACTTGACGATGATGCAGACGATGTGTTTTCATACACACTGGTGAGTAAATGTGTCAGGAATCCCAGTGGCTCAATACTCAACATGCAAAACCATAGGTCCATTTCATTTTGCTTTACTTCTTCATGTTTTATACCATTTTACACTGGAGGTGTTAGGATGAACAAACTAATAGCTCTACTAACTACTAATACTAATATGTGTTAGATATAAGGTATCTTATATTATTTACAATGTAATTTCATCCTGCACTCTACCCTTATTTCTTTAGTCCTTATGTGAACATTTACTGCCTCAGTGGCAACAAGTGACAGCTGCATGTGTTCTGTATTAGTTAGCTTTAGTTTAAGCTTCTGAAAGACAAATATGACTGTAAATATACAAACAAAAAAGTGAAATAACACAAAGCTACAAGTGAGTGGGAAAATTGACAAAAAATATGCTGCAAGCCACACAGGTGTGAGTCAAAGTGTTGTGTGGCCTGTATTGACAGCTGCACAGATAAACATGGTTGCTCATCTGTTCCACTCTTCCACTGCATCCCAAGAAAGACAGCTGAAAAACAAGGCTGGCTGTCTGTGTAGACACACCTTAGCTTCTTTTTGCAGCGTGTTTAAATAATTCCTTTAGGATTCTAATTTATACGCACATCATTTTTATTTTAGGAACAAAAACCAATAACATTAGGTTGGTGCATTCATTCTTATATTCAACGGAATTCTCCATGCCTGCAGTGATGTAATCTTGCAACAATGTTACAGTGCAGCCGTTTTCACAGTAGCTGGCCTTCCCTTTTAATGGTCCATTCATTAATCTGAACAATCGATTGATGTTGACGGGCTGTTGTCATCCGGTCCACAAAGGATACACCTGTGATTTCACACTAAACTCATCTGAGGGCCTCTCATCTCCTCCATGTTTCTTTTCTTTTCTTTAGAGACTCATTTAAAGGATCCTTCTTGAGGATTGTGGTCTTGATCCATTTCTGGGTCATTGCAGGAAACAATTAGCTGAATATAAATTGTCATGTATAGCCACTATGTGACCAATTCAGTAGTTCTTTTCCCCCCCTTTTTTAAGACTTAGACTGACTTTATTAATCCCAGAGGGAAATTCAAGAAAACCTTTTACCTCTTTCCTCGTTTCTGTTTGCGTTCTGTAAAAAAAAAAAAAAAAAGCATTATAAAAAGCTTTAAAACAATGTTGGAGGTTATAGGATTGACTGATGTAAATGCATTTTAAGTATCCTGTCAGTCATCTGTCAGCCTGTTTCTGTCAGTTGTGATGTAGTCATTCAGCTGCTTTAGGATCTATTACCCTCTGTTGGTGGTTGTTTAAAACTGCACACAAAGGTACATCTTCACACCTGTAGCACCACCACCCACAAACCAAGCTTATTGTCCTCTAATGCAAAATACAAAAAACCCCCCCAAAACTCCCGCACTGCCTCTAGGCACTAAGGTACTACCCACTTGAACTTGTTTTATTGCACTTATCCAAGTTGTTTTCTCCTAAATAGACTTTTGCTTGTGTTGTATCTACACTCAGATGTTTTGGTAAAAATGTTTGCTAAATGAAATGAACAAACTAAGTCGGGTAGTAGTGGTCAAGCAACTCTGAAGTTATTTCATTTTGAAATGTTTCTACACCTCTGTAATTACTAACTTTCTGATATTGATCAGCAACCTTTTCAGCAGATATATTTTATGGCCACTGAGTGCAGTGGAGCAGCAAAAAGCTCACTCAGAGGACCAATATTCGTGAAAGCTTTCTGTGGCAACCAAGCTCTGATACTATCTATGTCTTCCTCAGTTGTATAGTATAAAGTACCCCAGCCTGCGTGACAACAACACCTTGCGCCGGGTCCTGGTGAGTGAAGTGCTGTACTCTGCAGAAAAACTTAAGGATAGATGGTTGGAGGAGAAGACTGGAAACAGGGATGGTACACAGTGTCAAACTGAGGAAGGACGGGATGAATTCCTCTCAGAGCTGTGCATGGAGATGGAGGAGCAACAGACAGGTGGATTAATATCCAACATTTTTAATTGGAAACAGTGATTTTATTTAATTTTTTAAAAATGTGTGTTAAAGTGTGTATTTGTAAGCATGCTTTTCTGTTGTTGACCAATGTTTTACTGCCAGACTATTATCAGCCTAAACAGTCAAACCTGTTATATCTACAGCATATGTAGAACAGATGAAAAATCCATGGGAGCAGTGTGGGAGAAGTGTGTCAAACGATGAAGAAGAGAAGTATGATGAGATGCTTGAGACACAAGGCCACAAACATCAGGGACCTTGTACACTGAGGAGGTGGGTTTTCTCAAAGAAAATGATGCTGCTGCTTAGCCCTATGGCAGAAGGCCATCTGTGGAATGTCGGGCTTCAGGCTGGTGGTAAAGACACCGCCTTAGTTTCCAGTACAGTTTACAATGCAACACCAAGGCAAACTAATACCCAACATTATACTTCACTACAAATGTTTAAACACTGACATGGGCATACCGTTCAGATTTATTTTTTTTCTCTGTGCTGGTAGGTATGTGTCTGTACCTCTGGCTGTGCTGTGGTCCTGCTGTCCCAAAGTCTGTGCACTGAGTGGAAGTCTTAGTAATCTCAGACATCTGCTGATGGGAAATCCAGAAGTTAAACTGAGCCAGGACGGCTCTGCTGTGCTTGTAGCTCACCAGGAACAAGGTACTGTTTGATCAGTTCTGCTTTTTTATTAAATATACAAAGTGTCAACGTTTATAACGGAAAGGAGGCGGCTGGGTTGCACAAGATGGTGGAAGTTAACAACATAATGTGCTGGAATCCATTATGTAAGATTTTAAAAAGACTTCTACTTTGGTGGTGCCTGTGATTTCCTCTTTATTAGTCATGTGCCATATCATAGGTAAGGCAGAACACTTTAACACAGTTGATGAAGCCCAAATATGTTGTTTTTGCATTACAGATGTTTGTTTTTAATAAATTATGTATATTGCAGACCTGCAAACTCAGTTTTGAAGTGAACCATTTTAACCTTTACTACCACATTTTCAATCCTTCCATAGAGATGTAATACCAAGTGTTTCCCAGCAGGTGTCACTATTTTGTCCGTATCTGCTGCTCTGTAACAATGAACCAAGAAGTGACTGAATGTAGTGGCTAAGTCACTTCCTATCAACGCTCCTCGCAGCTCAGATCATTTCCCTTGCTCAAACAATCCATCATCGGCTAACTTTGCAGCTTTCATTTCCTGCTCTTCTGCTCACCACATGAGTTTTAATGGTTCTGTGGTGGTGATATCAGTCTTTCATTTGTGTTCTCAGACCAGGAAGAGGAAGATGTTGACAATGATTTGGAGGACAGCGGGTATGCAGGGGCCAGCCACTACTCCCATAGTGCTGAGCAAGAGGAAAACTGGGAGGCAAATGTTTGATCTGAAGGATGCAGCTTTGTTGTCACTAAAGCTAGGTGACTTGTTTAAATCTATCAAAGAAAGGTTTGATTATGAGTTGTACGAACAATCCTAATTTGACTGAAACTGTTATGAGTCTGAAACATGAGTTCAGATCAATGACAATAAAATGACCACTGGTCACTAAAATATAAGTGTATTGACTGAAAGCAACTTTGAAAGTCCACATGTAAGTAGTACAATAAACTGTAGCTGTGAGAAAATGTTTGATTTGTCAGTGTTGGAGCATTATGCATAGTATGACAGGGAACTTGACATACTGAGCATTTTAAACTATTTTATTCAACAGTGCAAGGTAGACATCTTAAGCATCCAGTACACTTGTTAAGGAAGCAAATGTTGGTCCAAAAAACAAGTCTTTAACAGGAAACACTAGACAGTGTCAGAACAGCGCAGAACACCACTTTACAGGAGAATACAGTTTACAATTTTATATAGACAACAGCTTCACAGAAGAGAAGAAGCAACCATGTTTGTAACAACATGTTAGGTACCAAGATGAACATACCTGTGTCACACAGGTAAAACAATTGATTTTTATTCAAAATGACAAAAAAACAAACAAAAAACCCCCCAAACAAACCCAAAATACTCTGATTAGATATTTGGGACCAATAAATCATACATTTAACAATGTCTTAATTATGTAGTGAAAGACATTTTTCTTCGACAATAAAATATTTAGCAAAAATATGGCACAATGTCAGCAATGAAAGATAAAAAGCAAAGATGATAACATCCTATAAATGGGATTTCCAACATCTAAACCATGGTGAAAATAAAAAACACAAAATAAGAACACTGATTTACAGTTACATCACATATTGATGTTTGTGGCAATATCTGCTTTTAAACACGAGAACAAAATGAATTCCTACGTACAAAACAGCAAGCAAAATTCTTCCTTCAATGTGGAACTCGATTCAAAGATGGCACAATGTCAAATCAGAAACAACATTGAGGTGTGTCGAGCTCAAAATGTGATGGCAAAATTTGTCAAAGCTAGTAGCTTAAAAGAAAGGACACCATAATCGTGCAGAACATACAAACACAAAACAGAGAACACTGACGTATAGTTAAAACACCATACACTGATGACACTTGTGCAGATATTAATATAAGATGTATATAGTTTATCTAGAAGAGGCTTTTATCCTACCTCTACTATGGCTTACGACAGGAGATAGAAGATTACAGATGCTGTACAGTCTGCTTTCACTAGTTATCATGTGTCTTAATACTCTCATTATGCATAGGCCCTATAGGCTCCCAGGTAATAACAGTGTTTTGTTTACTTTGGCTAATTTGTTCTAATCAAATGTGCGCTTCAGCTCCTAAGAGGCTAGAAATGCAAATAGTCTACATGCATGACACTGTGAGGATTTCAAAACTCAGCAGATTTAGACTTCGGATTAGATTTCTCTCTGTAGCCCTAATCATCAATGTATCTGAGTGCTTGAGCAACTGACTGTCCTCAGCTCTAGCGTTGATATGAAGCTCGGAGATAGACACACTAAACTACTGTAATACTCAGGTACTGTTGAGTATTTTCCTTCATGGCAGTGGATTAACTAATTAGTCCTTCAATATCCAGTCCTGATGTGAAAAAAACACAGTATTCATCAGTTGCTCAAGTCACACTGTTACTATGTCACGGGATCTTTCATTTGTTCACTGATGTAGGCTTCCTGATCAGCTCAGAGTGATGCTGCAAAGCATAGCTACACAATAGATATACACCTGAAATGGTGGAAATTAGATACACACCCGTCTTTATCAATGTTAGTCATAGAAGCCTGAAATTATATTTGGCATTCACTGCCCTGTAAATGCAGAGAGCAGTAACAACATGATGAGAAAAAAAAAAAAAAAAAAGGCTGGAAAACTGCATGACAGGCTGAAGTTGTAGCTATTTATCCTTTAGCCATCTCATTTAATTTTTGCAAAGTAGCACTCTGGACTGCTAAGACGCTGATAAGGAAAAATCAAAAAGCACATTTAGTTTTAACTTTAGTTCAACGTAATTGGGAATTTTCTTTAACCACATTTGTGAAGTTAAGCTTGAATTCTATATTTACTGAGTGATAGATTTAGAACGTGATGGAGCATTGTTACATGAAACGCCATCAAAAGTGTGATTGTTGCACAAGGCATAAATATGTAAACCTGTTAAGATGACAGGTTAAACTACTGGCCAGACGTGCTGAAAAATGTTCTGTGACTATTAAATAGCAAGACTGGGCTAATGTTAGTCGAAGGACAGCATACATGCCTGAACTGCGTCGTACACGTTGATCAGTGCACAAGCAAATGACTAATAAAGTTTCAATCTGCTCAAATGAGGGATAAAAAGAATAACAGCATAGTGTCATTATTTATTAGCCACACTTCATATATCCTAAATTGCAGTCTTTGCTATTTGCATTGTCTCAAAGTTAGATTTAAAAAAATTTCAAATCGATTCATTGTTCAGCCTTAATTATGCTTAGCTGTGGCTCTCTTTACTTGATGTAGCTTCTGGTTGGCTGCATCTCAATAACCAAGTGCAAAATAACAGTTACTGTGGTTTGATTTCTTTCAAACTCCAACATGTGGTAAATATGCTCTTTTTTACACACACAAAAAAATCAACAATCCTACACAATTCATGAGTTTATCAGGCAAAGGTAAAAGTCAATCCAGTTTGGACCAAGCACATTGTTACGGCATTTAGCCTTTGGAGAGCAGTTAAGAGGACTGCAGGGATTTTCTAGAACAATCCTTTAGCAGTGTGCCAAACAAATAACAGGAACCTCTATGACTAAAACTGAGCAAATTGTCTTGTTCTCTCATTTTCTCTTTTCAAGTACCAACATAGTCTTCCTCACAGGAGATCATACATCATATCCCCCCCCCCAGTCATTCAACGTAACAGGATTACCGTTAGTACTAATTAAAGTGGTCTGACCAACAAACACATAACCACATTCACTCGCGCAGTCCACGTTCACCCGTCAAATAGCTCAAGTTTGATGTCTTTGTAGTAAAATAATCTCACCGTAAAAACACCAACAGCTGTCAGAGTCTCGGTAACTACAGCTTTTTAGCAGCTTAAAGGCAAATAGTAAATAGAACATCCTATTTGAAAAGGAAGTCAGAGAGACAAAAGGAATGTATTGAAAACGCATGTTTTCAGTGTAGATTTAAGTTTGTTTTGAGGGTGCACACACAGAGCTCTTCCCCTTGTTGTCCATCAGAGACAGGCTAATCATTTTTATTCCAGTTCCTAAGAGTTAAATGCTGATTGTGTTTGGATGCTGGGTGACATACGTGGTCTTCCATACCCAGACATAGCGGATGGTCTCAGCACAGGGAGCCAGAATTCCAAACCTGCATACATGCACGTTAAACGTTTTTGTTTTTAAATGATCTGATCAAGTGTTTCCTTTCTCTTGATTTGCAGCTGCGTTTACATTGAGATGATATCTGTCCACCTCGTGCTCCTAAAAAATATCTATGTAGCAGACACAAACACAGGAGGGCACTGTTGTAATGTTGACGCTTCAAAGATCAGGTTCGACACAGTGCTGATCAGGTACTGTGTGTGCTTTAGGAATGAAGACTGAAATGGTATTGGCTTCATTTCTATTTTTTTTTTTCTTTCTCAAGATATAATCAGTGTCGGCCCATCACTGAGAGGATGCAGGTCTAACGCTTTATCACCACCTGCTCGTATGCTCCCGCCCCGACCCTGAGAGAAAAGAAAAAAATACATGTAATCACAGAGGAAGCTATTTCAGTGTACAGCTGACAATATATGAGACTTTCTTGTATTTCTAACAATACAATATTGCTTAAACTGCACCAAGGCTAAAGACAAGTATGGTGCAATTACATCTATATTATCTTAACAGCAACCCTAACAAAAAATGTATTCTACTAACGAGCACAATCGGTATTTTCTAAACCTGACATTGCAGATTTCTGTCTCATTGAGTTGTCTGAAAACTACAGCATTAAATCATAAATGCACGAGTGTTTTCAAACATTTTGACACACCTTAAATTCTTAACCACAATGAGACACACACTAAATTCTTACGTATTTCTTATAACCCTTTCAGCCTTTATTAAAAATAAGAAATGCACAAAAATGTCATTTTAAAAGTGTCTCTTATCTTTGATAGATGTCTGAATGTTTGTTAATATTCCTAACTGTTATATCTTACCAGAAAAAAAAGCTGCTGTAACCTCTGATAGACTCAACCTACCCAACCAAAATAGTTCCCCATCTGGAGCCTTGAGTGCATCTTCACTTCAAGAGCTACTGTCTCAGATCATAAAGAAACCGCTGCTCTGCACTAAGTACTCAAAACATCAGTTGGAGAATAACTGAAGATAAATGCATTTCTCAGTTTTGTCTCTATTTATTTATAGTAACAGACAGACAACAAAGCGATCATGGGGTCAAACCAGGGGACACATTACCCACTATGTCTTGCATCCAGTGAAATGTAATACACAACACATATCTCAGTTTGCTAGCAACCTCATGAACTTTTCTTTGGAGAAAAACCTTGACATTAGCACTGCAGGATTAATGCAAAATATGTAATCGTGATTATTCTGACCAATATTGGGATCACAATTACTTATGATTATTCTTTCATTTGAAGTGATAAAATATATTTTCACTTTTACAATTGAGCACTGCTTTCACTTCCATGTTGTGTACATTCCTGTAAATGTACCATTCTTTGCATAAGGCTGCTCCTTATTTACAGAGCATGTTGTAGGAGCAAAATAAAACTGTACCAAAACTTTTCACCAAAAATGTAATCAACAGAGCTGCTTTTTCTGTCATGTGTAAAATCTTACAGTCGATGCTCGAGGACTGAGATTCAGTGAGGTAACGGTAGTGATGATATCCTTTTTGGTCTTCATGCATTCATCATAGTGCAGTTTGTTGTGTTTTCCCCGGGTGACTGAGCAAGTTAGTTGTGTACGTTTTGTGCAACACGCACTCTTTGCATTTGATTTGTTTTTGCTTTTCATCACTTGCTTCAAATCCAAAATAGTTCAAAACAATGATGATCCATTTTGAGGGACTAGTTCTTACATTTTTACTCCAGACGTTTGTTTTTTGTTTTGCCCATCTGCTCTCTGTTGTATACTACTCTTCTACTCTGGACAGCAGCCAATACATCCAGAAAATGTTTTGCAAAGGCGGCTGCTGCACCAGCGCGTATACATCGACGTAGTGGCTACTAAAGTAACATCTCAGTGGTTATTAGTTGATGAACTGGTTGATTGTACATGCAACAGAGTTTTCTATTAGCAGAGCCTGAATTTTAAGCGTTCATGTAATTGTGGGAAGAAAAAATCATGACGAATGTCCTACTTGCCACCAGAACACTGAATCTTGAATTGAACAGCATGTTGTATAGACCAGTAATATAGGATCGCAAAAGATCTGTGGTTGCATTTAAGAGTATTGCATTTAAAAGCACGTCGATGAGACAACCTGCACTTGGTGACCTGATATTGCTTCATTATAATAGATGTAGTCACTGTAGTTTACTTTGAATCAGCTCCTCATACACTTTCTGACCGCTGTACGTTGTGTGTTAATCTGCAGCTAAAAGTAGTCCCAAAAAATGCACCATACAGTGCCCAGCTTTGATAAGAAAATTGTGATCCCATTTAAAAAAGAATTTAACTCTGTATTTGTGACCAAAGTCTTTAGTAGGAATGAATTGGCTGGGGGCTGTTACACAACTTCAGTTTACTAAATATCCTAAGGCATGTGATGCTCACCTGGTGGGAAGGTGATGGCTTCCAAGGGCTGTACTCCCCCCAGGCCCAACAAACAGACGCAAACCTTCCTCTGAAACAGACACAGTTGTGATAACGTTTGGTCAGTACACAGAGCACCCACATCCTCCTGTATAATTCTTGTCATGAGGAGCAGCCGGTTGCTAGGCAATCTAAAAATAATCATGTATTGACAGCGGCTTTCTTTTCCTAGCTTTGAGCTAGATGAGACCTTGAAATGAAAAACAATGTCTTACTCCTTAAAGTACACACTGACTCATGGGATAACAGAATAGTGTCATCTTAATTATTATGTTATGCCAACTGGCTGTGCATTTAGCACAGCAGCACTCCAGGATAGGATTAGTCTTAATGATTATTTGTATTATTGATTCACTTTTTCTGGTTAATTGTGGACCTGAAAAGATTTTAAAGTTATACATTTGATAATTAACTTAAAATGAAATTGCCAGTAACCTATTTTGATAATCATTTGAGTCCATTTTCAAACAAAAATGTTGAACATTTTCTGACTTTAGCTTCTTAAACGTTACCATTTATTGCTTTTTGAGATATGTAACGTTGTTGAATAAATATTTCGAGGTTTTGGACAGTGGGTCAGACTAAAGAAGACGTGATTATTCCATTTAAGATAGGGGAAATTGCGAAGAGTGTTCTTCATAAATTTCTGATATTTGTTAACTGGAATGTTTAATTAGGAAAGTATTTAATTTTCTATGACAACAAAATCAGAAAACGAGAAAAACAAAAAGAGGGGGGGGGGGGGGGGGGGGGGGGGTCAGCAGTGTCTTGAGTTTTCACAATATGCTGATTATTATTTTCCTGCCAACATCACTGATGACTTTCTGCTACACTAAAACATTTGAAATGTGGTAAAGTTGCTTTGCTGTTTTCCTTTAAGAAACTTTAAAAGAAGGAAAAATCTGTGTGAGAGTCCAAAGACCCATTTGCTGCAGAAATGACAATTGCAGTAAGGATTTTCCAGGATGTGTCTTACCTTCAGCACTGGAGTCCAGTAGGCTGGGTGTAAAGTCTTGACTCTGCAGTATCTTTTCTACGACATCATCCGCGTCCACCCGTGTGTCGTCCATTCTCTTCAGCTGAGACTCCATGGAGTCCTGTTTCACTGGATGTCTGAGGGGAAGATACAGGAGAGTCGTTTTGAGTGTCATTACAGCATTAATGGCCTTCACCACAAACTAAAAATGCTGTTTGCTTCTTGTTCTCTACATTTCATTTCGAGCCACAAAGGAGGGGTGTGATCAACCGCGGAGCCGTGGGCTTCCATCCAGGCTGCTGAAAACTGTTCTCAGATGAAGTCATCGTTATTAAACATGCTTTTAGTAGCATCCAAAGACTTGCCAGAGCTTCTTAATGTTGCTAAGGCTGTCTTCTCAGAAAGCGTTTCAGCTATTTTCTCGTTGATTGTCTCACGAGCATCTGATGGAACAGGTCCTGTTTTAATCAGTCCAACTGTCTACACTCACGGTGCAGCAATTCATGTTTTAGTCACACTGTAAAAATGCAATTTCAGCTTGTTTTTATGGTTCCCATGTATTTTACTGGACTTTACACCCGTAACAACAGCGATGTATCTTGGGCTCTGAGTGAATTCAAAACGTAGGTCATCTACAACTAAATAATGTATATAAACTTTACCATAGACTAAACACTATATGCAGTGCTGTACACAAGCGCACCAGAGGTGCTGCTGCTGCTGCTCTAACGTACTGTTCATGCTTTGCATTCTTTGTAGACTGTAACACTATATAAAAGATGGATGTAGCCACTGTGGCATCACTAATTGGTTTGTGGACTACAGTTTTGAAGTCAAAACCTTTTTTTTTTTTGTGGAAGTTGTATGTATTAAGTGAGGTGGGGATCTGACTAACAACTCAAAAACACTATGCACATCTGTACAGTAGAAACCTGTCAATCACAAGGTAGCCATGCCCTAAAGTAAACACCCTGCTTTATCATTTGCTTTGCTCTAATTGGGACCGTAAAACAACAATGTGTTGTATTGAAGGAGACTTGAAACTATTTTCATTGTCATTTTTGCATGAACTTCTATACAATTACACTTCTTTTTGCAACCAGAGAGGGTGTTGGAAAGAACGCAGGCGTAAGTCGCTGCCACATAGGCTTCACTGTATAGGCTCTGTCATATATAGTCCACGGTGTGTACAATGTGTAAGACAATGCGATTTAAATCCATTTTCACAGGCTGATTATGTGGTGACCACTGAAAACATTTGTGGCTAACTAGCTACATTTTTCAACCAGTGCATAATAATTACATCTACATCCTATTTTTTGTGCATACTATGAGCTGTTTTCTGACTAAACCCACTGTGTTTAAAAGAAAAGTACGTCCGTTTTTAAAATGTGCTTACTTGCTTCCTGCTGAGAGATTGAGGCGACTGCTAACTGTGACATGTCGATAGGTAAATATGTGGTTAGCAAGTGACGGAAACAACTAGCCTTTCTCTGTTCAAAGGTAACATCCTTCTACCAGTACCCCCAAATGTAACTAATCATGGCAGTAAATCTAATTATTCTAATGTCTGACATTTTAAAAAAGACATGTTGCAATGTTGAAGGGAGTTAAAAGCCTGACTACATTTTGGATGACATAGTACTTCCTGTCTTGACATTTCATCTTGTTTAGTCATGATTGTGAGGTTTCTCAGAAACAAAGCAGACTCAAGCTGCTACTGGCAGTTATATTTGTATATGCAGATAGATGAGAGCAGTATCAATTTTTCCTCATCAAGCAAATTTCCCAAAATGCTGGACTTGTGCCTCAATATAGGGAACATGAACATCAGAATAAAGCATAATATGTTCAAGTGTTTGAGATAATAGTGGCATAGAAACTACATGACAAAATGCTGGACTGGTTTTTAAAGCGGTCGGCCAAGTATTAAGTGCACCTTAAGCCATAAAGCACTTAAAACTATCTCCTGTCAAACCTCTGTTGGCCTCATCGTCGGACATTTTTAGATCCCAAAAACAATAAAGTTTTCAAAAGAATAAGAGTCCGTATTAACGCAACATAATAAAACCACAAATACGCTTCCGCTGCTCTGCCTCGCAGCTTTTAACTGCACGACAGCTGCTTCCTGAAACGTGACACAGGTCTCAGGTGCGATTATGTCTGAAGTTTGTGAACTTCCCTAAAATAACATACTGCTGCTCTATTTTGTACTCACCCACAATAAACAGGTCACCATGTTTTCACTTCATGACTGATTCCTGTCATTAAATAGGACAGTGATTACTTCTGTGTATACCAAACTACACAAAGACTCACCTATTTAGTCGTTCACAGGACGAGGCGCTCCGTACTGGTGTGCCTTGGGAGTTGCTTGACGAGGCGGTGGGGCCTGGATGTTCAGGCAGTGCTGGACAGGGCCTGGACTCTCGCTCCTCGCTGGGCTCCGGGATGCTGCCGATACCGGTTGAAGCGCTGCCTACTGAGTGATTTCGCCGATGGCTGAACTCTGACATGCTGGAGGAGCGGGAGTGACCTGTGCTGTAGCCTGAGAGAGACAGGCGGTGATTTCTATCGTACTTCATATGTTACCTCAGGAGTGCTTTGACATTTTCACATTTAATACATCAAGCCTTTGCTCTCTAAAAATCGGTAAAAATTGATCTTTGACCACCGGCTCTTTGCTATCTCTGCTCCCACTAGGCCCATGCAACTGATTTGTTTTGATTATACACACGTGAAAGTCCAATAATTGCATCATTAATGGACGACAGATGGAGAGGATACAGATTTATTGCCACATGATTCATGAATCAGTAATTCTTCTAAAGTATTACACAATGTTTTTTTCTGCCGAAACTTTATTTGCTGTCTAGCAGATTTCAAATTTGCAGTGTCTTTAATTATTCAGCAGAGCAGCAGTGACACAGACAAACTCTGTCTGCAGGAAATTAGTTAAAGCAAAAAAAAACAACAACTCAGGGCTTCAGGTCACTGCAGCCATGGAGAGCAAACATCCCACACATTCATGAAAGGTTTGAATAAATCTATCAAGAGTTGCACGTGGAAGGAAATACATTTTTAAATTCTATACGAGAAGGCCATTAGAGCTGTTCTCAGCGCATCTTTCCACTTCCTCTAATCTTTCATTACTGTCATCTGATCTGCCTGTAATGGAAACCCAAGCAGCAGGTCTGAACTGCACTGCTGGAGTGTCACTGGAAAATAATTTAATCACTTCCCAGCTCCTCAGTCGGACGCTTTCTCATTCGACCCCCTATTTTTTAATAGTATGATTTTAGAATGTAGTTTGAGCTGGGAATGTCGTGTTTAGATCTCCCCGTTTTAAATGTGACACCCTTACCTGAGAGTTTGGACTGTTGGCTGGCGTAGCTGGATGTTCGGGAGTGGCCGCAGCCTCCCAGGTCGTCCGACACAACAGGGCACTTCCCTTCTCGACTCTCTGCTGGATTAGAAAGGACAGACAGAGGATGACAAAGGCCAGAAATCTCTGTTGTACTGCAAAATAACTACAAAAAATTGAATCAGCACTGACATGTACAGCTTATATTAAGCCTCCTTGTATGGTCAGAAAGAAACCTTGGCAAATTTCTTCCCTTTTTTCTCGTATGGTATCGATAGTAATATCGAAATCCAAAGTAGGAACAGCTGAACAAAGTTATCAAACGTGTATCAAGTGAAATGACTGTGTATTTACAATAACAAATCAACTCTGCACAAGGTTCCGTTTGCAAAATGTCAATTATATGTGTCAGAATCCTGTTTTGTACTTTGCAGGTTAGACTGACACAAACAGAAACTTCAAGTCTCAGACAAAGTACGAAGTGAGATCTGTTGTTAGGCATGTGTTGATTCAGACCACACACAAACCCAGTTTCTGTTGTGCTACATGCACACCAATGCCACAGTCTCCACAACTGGGACTGTGTTAGTGACTATTGATTTGTGGTTAATCGTTGTCAAATGGCAACATTTAAAACAACAGAAAACTTCCCTCTCTGCCGCCCACGTACTGTCTCTCAGTTTGGCATCTCGTGAGTTAATGAATGAGTCACGACAGTTGACAGGTGTCACTTCTGCTCAAGGAAAAATAAACATATCTAGAGGAATGTCAGGGAATCACAGGGGAACTCTTGATGCAAGGCTGAGCAAATTCCAGTTTCATTTCAGAGTTTAAATGTCTGCAGCAAAGATAAAAATAAACACCATGCCAGAGATTTTAACCCAGAGACACATATGTGGGGAAAGACAACATTACAACACTGTAAAGAAACAGTTTCAGAATGTTGAGGTAATCCTCAAATCTTCTTTTTGATCTTCCTCAAATGGAGGAAAAGAATGTCACATCTGCCCACAGAAACCTGTAAACAATTGTGCATTTACCAGGTTGCAAGGATTAAAGGCACAAACACATAGTGTGTTGTGTTTCTTACAACCTATTTTAAAGATTACTTTAAAACAACAAACATTACAAATCTGTAGATTCAAACATGTTTCCATGAGTCATCACATATCTCTACAGATTTTTTTTCCCCACAAAATATTCAAACATAAAGTCTATTTACAACATAATGCCACAATCGCTGATAAATGACCAAACGTCTCTTTTGAACTGATACTGCTCACATATACCTGCACCGGCTCTGCAAAGATGCATAGCTAAGACATGATGGGGATGATAGGAAAGAGCATCGTCATACAAATGTGCTTGCGGTGTGCACACGCAGACACACAACCCCCCCCTCAGACGTACTTGCACACAGTCCTATTTTTAACCATATAGGAGCCTCCGGGGTCAGAGCAGATTGTAGTTAACCTAAAAGAGAGCTAGTTTAAATTATACATGAAAGAGCTCTGCTTCTCTCTGAAGCTACCAGGAAGAACAAGCATTCAACACTGCGATGCGTTCACACATGAACACACAAACTGAACAGGGGAGGGGGGGTGAAACGAGAGCGAAGGGAAGCAGAGGGGGACAGCTAGAAGAGGAACACTTTTTTTGTAATTGTAGATGGGAGATAAGGAGTAGTATTTGACGCACGGATGCATAACAGCACACACAGAGGAGGAATCATCTCAACAAATGAATTGTGGTGATGCATGAAAAAAAATGTATTACAGCGATAAGTGTGTTGTAATCGCAGCACGTCTTGTATACAAAAGGATGTAGCAGTGATGAGTGATACTTGTCTTGATGTGGCGACCTGCGACATATTTTCCAACCGGTGTGAACATCACTTCACTGATGTACCAAGAAAAATGCTAAAACATGCGCAAAAAGCATCAGACTTCCTTTAAGTGTTAGTTGCTAAACATGGGAGTTTTCTTCTTGTAGCTGCGTCACAGTTAAAGCCTTCTAGTCATGCGCCCACGTACAACTTTTAATAATGTACAGCAGCAGCAGGAAATAGGTTTTAGCAGCAGCAAGGGCCAAGTGTGGTTTCCACATGTTAGCAAGGACATGTGTGGAGTGGAATATATAAGCAGGCAGGTGGCAAGTAGGTTATGGTGTTATGATTTTCATAAGCAGCGCACATTTGTCTGCAGCGAGGTGTTATTAATGATTTACTGAATCTAACACTAAACAATATCAGAAGGTACTACTTAGAATGGGTAACACCCTCCCCTAGTTTGGAATTAGACAGTAAACTTGGATTAAGATTGTATTTGCCAGCTAGAATGCAGAATAGAAGCTAATGTGAAGTAATGAGGGGGTGTTGTACACTTTGAGCGTGATACAGATAAAACTAAAAGGAAGCACTGTTTCAGCCTTGTGACTACAAACTAAACTGCTGCAAGGCTCTTGAAAGGTATTCACGTCATTCCAGTACAGATCGTCACCATTGACAAGGATGCTGTATCTGTTACATAACAACACAGAAGTGGGAACAAAACTCCCAAACTTAACATGGTTTAGCATGCAACGGTTTAACTCAAGCATGCTCTGTCAGGTGCCTGCAAACGTTTGCAAAAGCCAGGGAGACAACAAAGCAGAGCTGCGGAGTGTAATGTGGCGTGATTGGTCTCACCAGAACAGCCTTTCTGTGAGTCGCCTCCCTTCCTCTCCTCCAGCAAGCTCTCTCCATCACTCTGGATGCCGATCACTGTGGCTGTGGAGGGAGGGCTGGTGGCAGAGCACAAACAATGTGGCTTTATTTCTCTCTTGTGTCAGTTATTCCAAATTTTAAAAAAGTAAAGCAAAGACAGATCAATGTTGAGGAAGAAGTTAAACATTTGGAATATTTAACGAAAGACCACTTGAGTGATAAAATTGAAAATGTTAGAAACCGAAACAGCATTTAGTGAGGCAAAAAGTGAATATACTGTAGACTCTCTTTATTCAAATACATGCTGAGACACAAGATACAGCTTCTGGCATCAACATACAGTCTGTTGAGTCATTTTTAGGTCAAATCCTACCCTTGGGTAAAGCAACATTTCTCTCTGTGTTGGCACACACTTTCACAAGCACAGAGTATTTCTTTTAGAGGAACAAGTCCGACAAACTCATGTGTATTACTTGCAAGATGAAATTAGTCAACGCTTTTAACATGTAAATCTGATTAGCTAACCGTTACTTAGGCTTTCATAATCTTGTATCATCGATTTCCATGACTCTGACAAAGCACCTACAGCTAGAGTTCCCTTAACAGCTCTCAAATAGACCAGACCACAGCAGCAGATTTAATACCATATTGTTTTAGAATTTTTTAAAACAGGAGAGCACAAACAACCAATCAATACACTGGTGCTTAAACTGTAGCTGTTCTCGGAGAACAAAGAGGCTTTAAAATACAGTCAGCAAAGGTCAGTGAGTTGGTTTTGGTTCCCTCGGGGCACTGTAAATATCTCTGTTGAGTGTGTCAAGTGTCGGTTTTTAGTCCCAAAATGTTTTCCTTTTAAATCATTTTCCAATTCAGTCAAAGAAATACAGTCAAGAGCCTAAACTGACAGTCAGCTGATTGACCACATAAACACTGTAGTGGAGAAAAATGTTGCTTTAACTTACGTTTTAAAGCAGGGGTCCCCTGACATGAGCTGTGTACTGATGATTACCTGATAAAACAAACAGACAACAAGATTTGTTAGCTGGCTCAGCATTTAATGACAGCTTCAGCAGCTTGTATTTACTGTTACCAAAGAAAGACAGAAAATAGTGCTAATATGTAAACTCTGTAAGTGACTGGAGCTCTTGATGTACATGAACTTAAGCCATGGAAAATACGCATTCCCTGATGAACTCAAAATGTTAAGCAAGTTTGTTAAGCTTAAAGAAATGCAGCTGCTAATTCCTGTGGTAAGACCCAAATTTTCCCTTTGTTTTCAACAGGTGATATTGCTCTGCTTTTTACAAAAGATTATTTCTGGTCCAATGAACCAGCTGGCGTCTGGCCATTGTTAAGCGTGTATGCAAAAAGCTTTCCACTCTGTGTAGTTCCAGGTTGAGAAAATACCATGCTTGTATTCAAAACACCCAAGGCATCCTCTGAGTGAAGTCAAATCAGACTGCTGTGGGTGGATCAATGTTACCTTGAGAATGGAGTTGTCCTGACGAGTATTTTTGGTATCATAGCCTTCCAGCAGACATCTGCGGGTTGTATTCCCTGAGCCGGCAAACTCTGCTAAATTCAGATCTGCAAAACCAAGCTGAAGGAGAAAGAATGACAAAGAATGACACAGGGTGAACTTTGTTTTCTCTCAGGGGACTGATCTTTTTCCTGGTCAGCAATGTGATGATTTCTGGATGAAAAATGACAGCGAGCAGGACGCGAGGCAAAGAAACTGAACAATTTTAACACGACTCATAGCTCAGTTCTTCTCTAATGACAACCTGGTAATGGTCCATGTTAGAAGGAGTGGATTTGGACTAATGGAGTGTAGAAACTAGGAGGTTCTGTGTGCTCACAAGAGATAATTACTTTCAAACAGAGAATACATGACATAATGAGCCAACCTGCAGGCAAGGAGGGCCATCTGTTTGCTACAGGCTCACGGAGCTATCTGCATCAATATGGCTGATTACTGTAAATCTAGGTGACCTGGAGGTCGGTTAAAGGGATGGGGGTGGGAAAACATAAGCATGTGAGGAATTACCTTTGCATATGCTTTTCCACCCTTCAGCTCCTGAAGAAGAAGAAGCAGAAACATTTGAATGACCCTCAAAATCTTCAAGCAATGACACTCACTTTTTAAACCACAATTAAGCACATTTGAAGGTCAGCTGGTGATACCAACCCAATATTTGGATAGTAATGAAAAATACTTTGGCTTAGTACAGATCAATTCATGCTCTACAGTCATCTGTAAGAGTTACTGAACTCAATGGGTTTTGTGACTAACTTAAAACAATAAAAGTACTCTACTTTCCAGCACCAGAAAAAAAAAATCTGACATAGTGAACAACAGACAACTTTTAATGTTGGATCCAAACAGCTGCTTGAATATTTTACATTTCAAAAGCAAAGCAATGATAAAGTATATCAGGCATCAGTAAAGGCAAAATAACTAAAGCTTTTTGTGGTTGCTAGGTGTGCTTGGTGTCCGAAAGCAAAAGGCAGCGCATACCAGAAATAACTTAACAGAACAAATTTCCCCACTAAGACTTCTTTTCATTTCCTTTATTAACTACTAGTCATGCCCCTTATATGATTAAAACTGCGTCATATCGAATGATTTAACTGTACAGAGCGCACTCATCCTTACAGCTAGAGCACAGCAAAAAAAAAAAGAGTGCCAAAAGGTTTCACAATGATGAGTCAGTTTTCATTGGACTGCTGTGTTTGCTAACTGCTCTTTTAGAGTTCACATTCCACTCTCAAGTTTCAATCTGGCACATAAAAACTGTCAGGATTTAACACAGGTTAACACAGCACTTTTAAGAGCGTGAATGACACGCTCGTCTTTACTGCAGCCTCATTTTTTTCTTGCCTGACCCATCTTGCATTGGTACCTTTCTGACGGACACGCGGCACAGACAGGGGTCCAGGACGCCGGTCCCTGCACTGGCACTCATCTTGCAGGGGAAAGAGAACCGCTTCCTCCATCGAACACAGTTGGCCTGCACTGGCTCCCTGTAAAGGCAAATTATCGAGATTTAGACCATCTTTAGGCGCTCTGTAAAGTCAGATGTCACTGGTTTGTTTGTGTGCATGGTTTACATGCCAGTGTGTCTAGGTCCAGTTCACAGCTAAACATAAAGACAGGTTCAGATAATGCTTTCAGATTCAAATAAGAAGAAATTGGTGCAAACACTAACAGCATTTCATTCCTTATGTAGCACATTTTAATCCCTGATGATTAAATGTTTGGCTCGATACCAGAATCATGATGCATCATTCTCTATACATTTTGTGTTTTACAATAAATTATAAACAAACACGCAAGAAACACTGAAGTTCCTCGATCAGATCGCATGCAAAAATCATTTGGGAAAGAAATGTTGATATTCCTAAGTTATTAAGTGTATATATATCTATATTAATATAAAGTTTGCATTGGAACCATGACAAAAAGTTGTTACAATTTCATGAGATTTTAAGCAGTACCCAGCCCAAGCATTTAGTGGGACTGTGTTTTTTTTTTTTGTTTGTTTGTTTCTCATTTCTTGCTTTGCGCTTTTATTGTCAGTGTTCTGCTAAATCCAATAAATGCAGGACAAATGTGAGGCCTGCCAGACTGGAAACAAAATTTTGGCTGCAACCTTCTTTTTGTTGCAGATTTATAGCATAAAGTTGGACTAAAGCAACGAAGGAAGGCCCTGTGCTTTGTTCCACCTATTGAAATGGATGTTGCTTGCATTGGTTAGTTTGTGTTGTGGTATGTTGTGCACATTTAGATTTTATAATTTTCAATTTACAGAATGTATTTATTTTATTCCACAGAACAGCCATATTTGTTAAGCTCAAACTGCTCCTAACAGCCAAGCCCAGGCTGCTATAGTTACAGCTGTGAATGGAATATGTTGCACATGTTGCCTGCCAATAAATTAAACAGTGTGAATTCATAATATGTTCCCATCTCTCAAATGTGATAATTAACATATAACGTCAAACTTACATAAATAAATGATGCTACAAGATAACTAGAAGGCTTCGAATTGACCTGTGACACCACTTCCAGCGATATGTGAAAAATCCTCAAGGGAGCAGCCTCATCGAAAAACAATCATTTTTAACCAAAAAACACTTGTTTTCATGACTAACTCTGATCAAATCCCTTAAACTGGGGGGAAAACAACTTCATGTCATTAATTTTAATATCACAATTACATAACAAATAAAACCGCATGGGCTGAATGAGTACCGGATTAACAATCCCCACGTCTCACCCTGCCTAAGGCTACTGATTCAAGCTGCCAATACAAGCTTATGTGCTTAACCTCAGATTTTTCTCTGACTTAATAGTCAAGTTAATTAATTACAACCTAGTTTTCACGTATTGATTCATTTGACTGATGAATCCAGGGGTTACAGTGGCAGGTGTGGTACATATTGGCACGAGAGTAACAGAGAAACATCCATCGTCCGCCATGTAGTGGTTAAAATGATGTGAATTGCAGCCTGCTCTCAGTAAACGGATGAGATGAAGTGAAAGAGAAAGACTGTGCGTGGGCAGAATTACGATACCACAGATGGCCTCTCTTTCACTGGCATCCTCTCCTCTCCCACTCACCTAACCAACTCCCATCTGTTAATACAGCCTACACACCATTCACTATGTTGGATTCTGCTGGATTTAGACGGGAGCAGAGCTGACGGTTATCGGCTCCGATACAGTGCAAATGAAAATGATGCAACAAGTGAAAAATCTGAAGGAGTCTGGAATAGTGACATGAAGACACAGAGGCCGAGGGACGCAGACAGAAAATGTCAGAAGAGCAGAGAGTGTTAATGGCATGATGCTTAAATGTTTAACAGAGCGTGCAAATCCTTGTTGAGATGGTTAGGACTGAGCGTGCAGGCCTGTGTTTTGCACAGCATCCCTGCCTCACTATAAATAAAAAGCGGCAGATGCGTGACTAATGTTTTACAAACGCTGACTTCATCCTGAGGTTGATAAATTTTGGAGAGTGAACTCCCACAGTCAGAGAGGGAACTCCCAGCCAGCTGGATGCTGTGTGCTTCAGGAGTTCTGGCTTGAGTTCATGCACTGTGGCTCCCAGCACCTTTCAGCGCAGCAAAATCCTGTTAGCGAGTGCGAGTAATCCCGGTACTGAGCACAAGCGGAGGTCGTCTCTCTAATCTCACTGCATGGTTCAGGTATCTTGTTAAACTACAGCTGCTCTCCTTTTAAAGGCAGCTGCAGTCCTGCTTCAGACATAAACACTTTGACACACAACACACTGCTGCACAGAAACCAAATCTTTGTGACATGGGTTTGATGCATGTGGAGCAACAACGAAAAGATCAGACCTTGAAAAAACACAGAGGAGGTAAACTAGTCGTAAAATATAACAAGGAAAGCATGTTTTGGATAGAAACAGTGGTGAAGAACTGATGACAAGCCACACCAAAGGAAGAAAGGCTCATAAAACAGCAATCCACACTTCCCTTACACTTGCAGTTGGGAGGAAATCTAGTTTGGGGGTGTAACAAACCGAAATACTGCAGACGAATGTAATTTAACAACTGTCAGACTTGTGATGTTGTCAGGTTAGGACATAAAACAACAAAGGATTGGAGGATGGTTTTAGTTAGAGCCACTGTATTATCTGTGTTATAGTAATAAAAGAGCTTCTTACAGTCTTTCTTCATTTCAGTTTGCTGAAGTGGCTGCTCAAATGCGAAGAAATACACATACGACCGCGGCTGTGATAAAATGACCATGACCTCATAAAAACATCCTCATTCAGACTGTCCAGCACAGACGGGGCCTTTTTACATGAACTACTTACTGTCGAGCGAAAAGAAGGTTTGTTACATAATCAGGGTGAAGCCCTCAAATCCCAACAGCGTCATTCCAAAACAATGCTTCGTCTAGTTTGCAGCATTTTTCTGTCATGGGATATGTAAGATTGCTGAATTCATCAGTCTGTTAAGGTGATAATGTTCGGATAAAAGTTACTTTATGATCAGACATGACGGAGAGAGCCACAGAGAACACAACCTGTGTCTTTTGTATGTTTGAGAGGCCAGAACGGGTTACAGAGGAGAGGACTGACTTTGCTTCTCAACTTTACAACAATAACAGTATTAACAGCACGCAGCAGGATGATGCAGAATAATGGGGATTAGGTCATTTCCTTACATCAACTGTGTCGCACCTTGCAGCTTCTTTTAAAACTACTTTTCTCAATACATGGTAGAGCTAGGCGACCCGGCTGAAAAGTTTGTCACGATCGTTTGTTTTTGTCAGTCCATACAGATCATTTTTGTATGAAGATTTTTTTTTAAATGATCAAGAGGCAAAAGGTTTAACTTGAACTAACCCCTAAATTTGAATTGAACCACTTGAGCCTATCTATCAAGGCTCACAAGTTGGGGTGATAATTCTAACACCAGAATAAAAACACAAATTCACACATCATTCAAAATACATAAGAATAAAGGAATCACCTCCCCTGGATACACTTTGAATAAAAAAGGCAAATAAAACCTGAAGGTGCACGAAGCGTGACCAAAGCAAGGCCGGCGCAGTGTGCTGACGTTAGGGTTCCTGATGACCTGATGGAGACCTCACACCAGCCTCCACCTGCACCCCGGGATCAGTGCAAAAGTTGGGTGGAGGTGGAGGACGCAGAGCTGTAGGTGGTTTTTGACCGTGAAGCCCAGCGAGCGAGGGCAGCCACTGATCCCCGTCAGCCTCCACCAGGGGAGGATGAAGGCGACTTTTAGCCCAGGCAGATGCCGACTAGCGTACCTCGGGAGATTTGAAGCTATGAGGAGGGCAAAGGGACTCCATTATCGAGGTATAACAGGCTGTTTATAAGGCTCGGAGTGGGCATGCTTGGGGTTTGTTCATGCAACCGAACTTTGTGTTGTCATTGTGTGCTTTCATGGCAATTTGAATCTATTACATTTAAGCGAAGCTATCAAACGTGTCAGTTTTTATTGCTGTTGCCAATCCCATCACCCAGGCCGAATGCATACATTCTGTTTCCTCCATGAAGTGTTCTTTGAACTTTTGTGTCCCATGGCCTTTTCAGGGTGACACTGAACAATGGATACAGGTCATTTCCTTTGACTACTTCACCTTCTCTACTTGTGAAAAACAAGTCTTTTGCCTCATTCATGTGACCATATGGTTTGTTCTGTTTAAAGTTAGAAGACATATCATGAGTGAACTAGGCAGTCAGCACCACAGCTAGGCTTGTTCCTCCTTGAAACTTAAGAGTGCTGATGACAGTCTCAAAAGCACAGATTCAGATTTCATATGTAACAAATCTAAAGAACTAATCCTGTCAACTTGCAGAGTAAGACTTCCTGTATCATCAGATATAACTTCCAGTTCAAACATCTACAGCTAAATTACTCCAATATTACAACTTGGCATTGTGCGGTGTAGTTTTACAGTTGGAGCAGAGTCAAAGGTGAGCTGGTGTGCTCGAGCTGAAGCGACGGATAGACGGAGAAGGAGCCGTGAGAGCAGCACCTTTTATAAGAAGTATGGGAGAGGTTAAATCCAAGCCTTTTTAAGGTAGGAAGGGACTATTTATATTTTTATGTAATTCTGCTGCCTAGATGAGTTAAAGCAAGATGCTATCACACTCTTCCCATTCATCGGCATACAAAAACGCAAGAGAAATAAAATGTATCATGTGTCCTGTTGCTAATGACTGTCAAGACTGTCCACTGTTTTGCATCAGTTTCTGACTTCATGCTGCTGCTTGCACAAATCAATTGCAAACTGATGAAGCAACACCTTCCTGTTACTTCTGTCAGAACTTTACAACCAAACAGGGATCAAACAGGATCCGACTGACACTATTAATCGAACACCAGAAAAGCTACAGGAGTCATATTTAGCTTTATGGCTGTTATGTGACTTCTCACAGCACAGAAATCAATCCCACAACCAGGCGAGGAAGTGAGGGAGCCCGTGAAAAGCAGCCAGATGTCGAATTAAATGTGAGAAAAATGCAACAGAATTAAAGGCACTGCGGATCAGACTGAACACCACGTCTCTGTTAGTTATTTAAACTAAGTAATGATGGACAAACTGTACAATAGCATCGGCTGGGGAACACACAAATTAGCATAACACCAATAACATCACAGTGGCGGACTGACGTTAGCTAGTTGGTCAGTCTTCTAGCCTGCTAGCTAGTTAGCTGTTGACGCTATTTTAACGTTTTAAAGCTGCAGAAAGAGTTCAACGTACACACCAGAGGACCTGTGTGTGTTTGTGTGGCTGTATTAAAGTGAAACATCCTCACCGAGAAGACTCCTCGGAGAAGCCGCCGTCCAGCAGCCGGACTTTACAGAAGAGGACACCGTTGACGAAAGGGACCGAAGACAGCTCGTCCAGCTCAAAATCCACCTTGAACTTGAATTTCTTCTTCTTCATCATCATTAAATCCATACACAGGCTCAGTACTGTGGAGAAGATGCTGCGTCGTCGGCCGTCGCTGACATTACAGCCCCATTGTGTTGTGCTACAGACAGACAGTGTTGTGTTGTGGAGGATGGAGACACCAGTCAGTGACTCGAAGCAACCGAGGCGCCAAACACAGCTACGTCCGGCAGGGTGTCTTCAAAATAAGAGCATGCGCTTTGACACTACCTCATAAGCAATAATTTTAACCGCAAAAGGTTATTATATTTCTAAATCTGTCTTAAAACAACACTTTAAACGACACTTATCCTGCTTACTGCTATAATTTATCCTGTTGTTAACACTACAGGTGAATAGGGTACCTTTTTAACGAAAAGAAATCCCTTCCACTGTTGATTATTTACATTAAGACAGTTTTGTTTGTCTTACAAGATTTTTCAAGTGTATACGCAAATTTTATTTTTTTTAAATCATACACAAAATACTGTGAATTGATAGTAATAATATATTTTGACAGGATTTTAGCAATAACATCTTTAATTTTCGGAATGTTGTGTAATTAAGTAGGACAGACAGTGGTCACGAAAATAAGAATAACAAAATACTTTTGGAAGATTGAAGACCACTTGATTTGACTTAGACCTTAAATTTCAGCTAAATGGTTGAATAATTGTAAAAGCACTATCCCCTTGAACTCTCAAAGAAACGCAGTATACTGTATAAGTTTTATTTTAAATTAAACAGAAATAAAATACCATTATGTTTAAAAACAACAACACAAAAAAAAAACAAGCATAGTAATGTTCTCTTTGCGTTTCTCTTGTGGTCCTCAAATAATATGTTTACTTAGCAAACACTACGATGTTTCTAATAATGACATTACGTTTTGACTGTTTGTGCTTTTACTTTGAAGTGATTATTGATAAGCGGATGTACAGTGGTGACAGCTTGTAGCTTGATGAGCCGTAAGGGAAGCCCGCCCCCCCGTCGTCTCCTCCTGGCGGCCAGTCAGAGCAACAGCAGCACTGATTGGACAGATTACAACAACAAAGTGAAACCAGAGACTGGACGTGAAAGAGTGAAACCAGCTGCTGTTATGTAACATCTGCGCCACCTAGTGGTGCAATGTCGGTACTGCAACACACTCTTTTATACTGCACGACGTCAAATACTGTCTTTTTTCTTTTTTTTTTTTTTTTTTTTTTTTTTTTTAAATTCACAAAGCTTTTACAACTTTACCAAACATTTGACCAATTTTAGGTTATTGAGAGTTAGATATAGACTCCACTGCTGCACAGTTACATCATACAGTCATAAACCTGTGCAATAATAATGTAAGACATGTTTGACTTTATTTTTTCTTTTTTAAACATTGGAATCATCACTGGAATTTTATAGAGTTCTTGAGCTTATTAATTTGCAAGTGTGGTGAGAAAGCAAAGAAAACTAGATTAGAAACAAACATGCAAATTTTACTGTTTTGCTTAAAGATTTTTCCAGAAAGCACATCTTTGCAATAACCTTAAGCATAGGTGTAGATTCCATTTGAATTTAGGTGGGAAACAATCAAGGTGGAGGGCCTGAGGATCCTTATCAGGAACATTTGGAGCATCAAACACTCCATTTTCTGCATTCTGGTGTTGTTTTTTTTTTTTATGCAGCACTTTGTATCTTTTCTGCATCATTTTATGGTGGAAACATCTTTATCTAAACATAGAAGGAAAAGAAAAACAAGGTGACAATTGAAAATATAATGGATATAATGCAATATAACTCTCAGGTATTTTGTTTCACTTTCAAATATTAAATTACTGCACACTAGCAGTTCTTATTCAACCCTCTCCCTGTTATGTTAACACACATATAGGTGTTATATACTGTTCTGTCCTCTGCTGTGTCTTTTGTTTGTGGCTGTAAAATTTTTGAATATACATGTGGATGCTTTTTAAATTCATCATAAATGATCTTAATTCATTTATAAACCCCTGGACTTTTTAATGGCTCATTTGTATTTTAGAAAACTTTTCTGTGTCCAAACTTTGTGCACATTCTGAACATGTTACTCATAGCTGCGTTTGATCCACTGAAGAAAAAAAAAAACCCTGTGGGAGTTGTTGTTGCAGCTATGAGTCATCTATAGGGGGCCTTTCCTCTGCCTCCCTCTTCAAATCTACACTTATGGAGAGATCCGCTTCTAGTCTGCAGCTTTCAAAGTAGCTACAAACTTGTGGGGATTAATTCTGAGCAGCTGAGGGATTCCTGCGGGTATGAGTCACTGCTCTGGTACAGATGAGCCTCATTGACTTTGTACTATGGATCCAACTATGGGGGACAGAATAACGCTGCCCTTATCACTATATTTAGGTTTTACGCGTGCGTGCGCTCTTGCGTGGGTGTTACACCACAAACCACAACAAACCAGAAAGTTAGAAAACGAACATAAGCTTGATCGATGAACAACAGTTTGAGGGGAAATAAACAAACAATTTGAGGGAAAATGTAAAAAGAGATGATAAATAATGAGGGATCTGTCTCAGTTGTGAAGGCACATGAGGAAATACTCGCCATAGACACTGCAGTATGTGTGTGTGTGTGTGTGTGTGTGTTTGTGTGTGTGTGTGTGTGTGTCTGTTGCTGAAGGGTGTGTCCCTGTAATGTCTGTGCGTGCAGTAAAAGAGGAGGTCTTCTGAGGCGAATTGAACCGGGTCTCTCCACCCTCCCGTTCGGCCAACCTACCTCATCCAAACTCTCATTAAAAACCTGCTTTCCTCTCTGGACTTTACTCCGCACCGACCCATGAGGACTTTTCTGCCGCTTCTCCTCCGAGCTGCACTGCGGAAATCTCTCTGAAATCACACGAGACTGTGCCAACTGCTCCAAAACCAGAAGTGGCGACCGCAGGAATCTGTTTGTGCGCCTCCACAGCGGTCTAATAGCTCACTTTGCGTGTTTGTGTGGAGCTCTGCAGGCCTCTACTGTTTGTTAACAATGTACCAAGTGGTGAGGAAGCTGTTTTTTACGGACTGTCGGTGCGCAGACGATGCGTCGAAAACGTACGAGGAGCTGTTCGCCAGACTGGACACGAACAAGGATGGAAAAGTGGATGTGTCCGAGCTGAAGGCGGGCCTGGCTGCCATGGGCATCAAGGCCAGGAAAGGAGCAGCTCAGGTAGAGCAACAGGGAGCAGTACACACACTTTATAATGAGGAAAAACACACATAAAATCCTCCTGAAGGAACTGAGCAGGCTGAAGTTGTCCAGTATGAACCCTGACATGTCTCTACTTCAAAGGCCTCAGAGGGACCAGCTGAGTGCTTTTATTCAAGTATGCTCCGTAAAGAGAGTGTACTTTTCTGCTAAACTGCAACCAACACTTACTTTCCTCACTGATCTTTCTGTTAATCATTTTGTTAAAGGCTGCAACTAACAATTATTTCCACTGTCAGTTAATCAGTTAGTTGTTTGGTCTCTAAAGTGTCAGAAAGCTGTACAAAAAAAAAAAAAAGGTGTTGATCAGTGTTTCCCAAAGTCCAAAATGACATCTTCAAATGTCCTATTTTGTCCACAACTGAAAAAAAAAAATTCCGTTTACTCTCATAGAGGTAGGAAGAATTAGGAAATGTTCACATTTAACATGCAGGAATCAGAACATTTAGCCCTTTTCCCCTTAAATAAGTAGTCAAAGCGATTAATCGATTATCGAGCTAGTTTAGTAGTTTAGTAGTCAATTAAGTGTTGCAGCTCCAACAGCTAAAACAGCAATATAAAACTGGAAAAAAACCCTAATGATTTTTACATTTCAGAAGTTGAAACCCCCTTTTTAACTTGATAAGTGCCTCAAATAATAAATCAGTTTTCAAATTTGCAACTTCATGACTGTATTGTTACAGCTCTGCTTTACTCTACAAGATTTATTTGATGGAGATGCAGTTGTGACTCGATAATCCGACCCTTAACAATCCAAAAACCTTGCTATCCGACAGGTTGTTAGGAAAAACGAATAGAACCCATTAAAAAAATAGCCTTAATTCAATTCAATTTTATTTGTATAGCGCAGTTTACAACATATGTTATCACATAGTGCTTAACAAAGTGAGGTGTAGACCTTAAAAATTTAAACAGATAACCCAACAATGCCTACGTTCAGTTCAGACTGCAGGACTTAATGCTCAATTCCTTTTTTTTGTGAAATCTGATTTTTTGCTAGTTTGTTCACATTTCCAATTAAATGCGACTTGTATGTGATCTGCTAAGTGTCCCGCATGCGCAGAAGAGGACACAATGACGTCACACACAGTGAGTGTGCTCAGTGTTTACTGAAGTAAACACGGATGGTGATGGTGGAGCACATCTTGTACCCCGCTGCCACCGCCACCGATGGTGGAAACAGAACAGTGACCATTATCCTTAACTGGCATCAGCAGCCAAGTACTGCCTGTGTGCTCCGGCCACTTCCACCCCGTCGGAGCGCACCCCCGGGGTGGAAGTGGTCCTCCCCACTGAATATTCGGATATTCATCATTAATTGGATCTGTGTTGTTCAGGCTGTCATGAAAGGACCAGATACAGGTCGCATAGGGGCAAAAAAATTGGATTTGGGCCACTTTAGCCTGCTGTCTGAAGCTTTCAGTCGAATCACATGATCTTCATCAGCTCATGGAGTTCATCCAGTTGTTGTAGAATTATAGATATTCAAATTTTAAAAAAATGAAAGCACTTTTTGTCCAATTATAACCTCAAGGTCCATTTGAAGGCAGTTCTGAAGCTTTCTGTTAGATCACATGATCGTCACTGTGACTTTCAGCCACACTATTTCTCTGCATTCACTTTCTCCTGCTTTGGGAGAAAACCGATGACACAAAGCTGTTGTTGCTCCTCCTTCTTTACTATCGTTCATGTGCCCTGGAGCAAGGCACTAAACCCCAAACTGCTCCAGCGTGTCTGATCACTCTCCGGCACAGCAGAATGTGCTTCTTCTTGTCTCGGCAGTGACTTTCTCTGAACCTTTCTTGTCCTTATATTACATTAAACCCAAACTTTAATCCTGAATCCAATAACATTAGTCTTCTATTGACAATGAACATCAGAAAATGCTCTGCCAAGACGAGGGAGTTGGCACGTGGTTTAACTGCATTTTCCCCCCAAAAGCTAAAGACATGTAAATGCGATTTCGCATCTAAATCTATGAATGGCTGCACCTTTGACATGGTTTAAGTTAAGTTTCTTGCAAGCTTATATTCAAATTCAAGTCTTTGTTTTTGAACCCATCACAAGAGAGTTTCACAACCTCAGCTTGAGTCCTACTTCCTCAGAACTGTCGGACCCATTTTCCACTGAAGTTCACACGTGAGCTCACGTTTATCTCAACAATCTGGTCGAACTGTAAAAATGACAACGGGACAGGCGGGGCGAACTACAGGAGCCCCAGGATTCCTGAAAGTGGCTCAAAGTTCAGTCGTAATTTATTGTGGGCTGCAACTGTGAGAGGAAGGTCCCACCTTTGCTAATCAAACCATTAGTGCATTCCTGACGCTGATCAATGAGTCTGGTATCTCTGAGTCAGGAAACCAGGTAAGCAGCAGTCTGCTGTAAAACATGAACTTTTCCTATCGTGCAATTAGATGACAACGATCTGATAAACAGGACATAAATGTGCACACTGGTTGCCTCATTTGCTGAGTTGTGTCCTCATTTAGCACAATAATTCACCTCTTATGACTTGACTTATATTTTACCAGAGGCTTATTCAGTAAAACTGGTTTTAAGGCTTGTTTTTCTTTCTTTGCATTCATTTATTTCCATGTGAATTGCATCAAGCCACAGACGGCTTTGACTTTTACAATTGTTCAACAGATTATCACTTGATTCTGAATAAAAACTTTTTATTTTTGTGAGATTTCTGCAACATTATGTACCTACAGCTTAGCAAGACAACTCAGCGGCATTCTGTCCTGCTTTCAGACAATCCTTCTGCAAACATGGATAATCTGCATTTACATAACTCCTTACAAATGGAAAAAAAAGTGGAAAGGAAAGCGAACAGGCAACAGCATTAAGTATGTGAAGGAGTCATGATGACAAGATGTGAGTGGAGATTAAGTGAAGCAGTTCTCTGCGTTATTCTGCCACCGACTGGCAGAATCAAGCAGCTGCTGTTGGGGGAGACGGTAGAGTCACTTGATGTCAGGGCAGCACTTAAAGCTCTCCCTGCTCCCGACGAGGAGGTCAGACGCCCAGCTGCAAACACACAGATAGTATCACGAACAGGCTGGATTGCTAATATTCTTTGTGTTTTTCTTCAGAAAATCATTTCCTCTGGAGACCAGGACAATGATGAAGGGCTCGACTTCAATGAGTTCACCAACTACCTGAAGGAGCACGAGAAGAAGTTACGGCTGACGTTCAAGAGCCTGGACAGAAACAATGATGGTAGGATATCGCTATTTTATCTAGCATTTGATTTGATTTAACAAAAAAAAACAACAACCCAAAAGCAATGAATAAACGTTGGTTTTCTAGCATGTTAATATCCCTGACTCAGTGTGTGAGAAAAGTCCAAGGACCACTTTGTTTTTATTTCCAACAGGTCGAATAGACCACATGGAGATAAAGCAGTCACTGGCTGATCTGGGACTGGACGTCAGCACGGAGGTTGCAGAGAAAATTCTTAAAAGGTATTTCTTGCTTGTTGTATAGCTGCTACTCCGCAACCAAACGGTGTCATTTGTGGAACTAAAAGTGAAAGATGAGAAGTTGAAGGTGGGGACCAGTGTGAGGGACTGATAACCAGCTCAGTGTGCAGTGAGTCTGGGAACAGGGCTGATGGCACATGATAAAGAGCTGCCAACATGACGGACTGAGCTGGAAACCGTATTCTAACATAGACGCAAAGAATAAAATCCTATGTGGTAAAGAGTCTTTTCTTACATTACAATTACATAAACGCATAAACTGTTAACCAAACCATCATGTGCCAATCAGACAGAGTCTCTTGTTACACCAGTGTCACTTTAACACTCAAATGCTGCTCATTTGATGAAAGTTACAATTTACTAGGTATCAACTTCACTTTCCTGCTTTCAGCTTTGAAATTACATGTCTGTGTGGATAAGCAGACACGAGTGAAGGATTGCAGCTGCCCTCAGGCCTCCTTGGTCACTTAAGTGATCAGTTTATAAGTACTGTACTTATGTGAAATTACAGCCTGTTTTAGATTAAACACATATAATTTGCACATAAACACATCTATTTGAAAATGTAAAGGTTGATCTTGTGTTTTATTGTCAGCACTTCACTATGATGCACTGGCCCATGTGTCAGAGAGAAATAATGACATTTTATTCCCCAAATTAGAAGAAAAAGTTCCTGTATGTTAGCTGTGCATAATGTTAGAATTCAGGCAGTTACATGCAGGAGTTAATGTTTTCCTCTAATGCAGCCTGTGGTAGTAAAAATGGTCTCTGTTACTCTCTTTCTGTATTTTTTTTTTGTTAAACATATTCAGTTTCTGTATTTGTAATTTTTAGAACCAGACTGATGCTGGATTTTCGGGGGCTCATGCTGACACCCATTTTTAGGGAATAAAAAAGTTTGATATCAATATAT